CTGGGTTGCGGTGGTGGTGGCCAGGAAAAGAGCCACGGATAGCGAAACCCCGCACGATCGCTGCCGATTGTTGGATAGAGAGTGGGGAACGGGCTGGCATGTGGGAATTCACCTACTTTTCAGGTTCCCTTCATGCCCTGGTCACTTACGCTTTACCACGATATAATATAATATGATGGTTACTTATAGGGGTCTCGGGAGTACGTAGGTTAACTCGCGGTGGGTTTCGGGCTCAAGGAGCTCGGTCTCTCCAATCGGAGCATCTAGAAGAGGGGGTGGTTATCCGCGGAGGGATTAGAATGAGGTAAATGGCAATGGATGAGACCCGGAATTTCTCCCATGGATCCGACTAGACCAGTCCAATTGAACTAAACTAAACCCAGTGGACGAGGATGATCTCCGCTGGCGTTTCCCCCTCGCGCCTCGCAAGCTTCCCCTCCCTTCAACCATCAACCATCAACCGTCAAACCAACTTCTCTTTCCTCTTTCTCTCTCTTCCCCCCACTTCCACCCCACCACTAGTACAAAGTAACTAAACTTCCTGTCTGCTTTATTAATTGATAGCTCTCCCCTCCCTCCGCTCTTCTTTCTTCTTCTCTTCCCTCTCTCTCTTTTTTTTTTTCTCTTCTAACCAACACCTCCTCTCCCATATCTCATCATGTCTGACCTCTTCACCACCATCACGACCCCCAACGGCGTCAAATACGAACAGCCTCTGGGCTTGTATGTTATCCCCGCGTCCAGTCCTCTCGATATCGCGCTTTTGGAAACTAACCACTGTTTACTTTACAGGTTCATTGACGGCGAATTCGTCAAGGGCGCCGAAGGCAAGACCTTCGAGACTATCAACCCCAGCAACGAGAAGCCCATTGTCGCCGTTCACGAAGCCACGGAGAAGGATGTGGATACTGCCGTTGCCGCTGCTCGCAAGGCCTTCGAGGGCTCCTGGCGCCAGGTCACTCCTTCCACCCGTGGCCGCATGCTGACCAAGCTGGCCGACCTTTTCGAGCGCGATGCCGAGATCCTGGCTTCCATCGAAGCTCTGGACAATGGCAAGTCTATCACCATGGCCCACGGTGATATCGCTGGCGCTGCCGGTTGCCTGCGCTACTATGGTGGCTGGGCCGACAAGATCCATGGTCAGACCATCGACACCAACTCCGAGACCTTGAACTACACTCGCCACGAACCCATCGGTGTCTGCGGACAGATCATTCCCTGGAACTTCCCCTTGCTGATGTGGGCCTGGAAGATTGGTCCTGCCATCGCTACCGGTAACACTGTTGTTATCAAGACTGCTGAGCAGACTCCTCTGTCCGGTCTCTATGCCGCGAAGCTGATCAAGGAGGCTGGCATCCCCGCCGGTGTGGTTAACGTCATCTCCGGTTTCGGTCGTGTGGCCGGTTCCGCCATCTCTCACCACATGGATATCGACAAGGTCGCCTTCACTGGCTCCACCCTTGTTGGCCGTACTATCCTCCAGGCCGCCGCCAAGAGCAACCTCAAGAAGGTGACCCTCGAGCTGGGTGGCAAGTCCCCCAACATTGTCTTCAACGATGCCGACATTGACAACGCCATCTCCTGGGCCAACTTCGGTATCTTCTACAACCACGGTCAGTGCTGCTGTGCTGGTTCTCGTATCCTGGTTCAGGAAGGCATCTACGACAAGTTCATTGCCCGTCTCAAGGAGCGTGCTCTCCAGAACAAGGTCGGTGACCCCTTCGCCAAGGACACCTTCCAAGGTCCCCAGGTTTCGCAGCTCCAGTTCGACCGCATCATGGAATACATCCAGCACGGTAAGGACGCCGGTGCTACCGTGGCTGTTGGTGGTGAGCGTCACGGCACCGAGGGTTACTTCATCCAGCCTACCGTCTTCACCGACGTCACCTCCGACATGAAGATCAACCAGGAGGAGATCTTCGGCCCCGTCGTCACTGTCCAGAAGTTCAAGGACGTCGAGGACGCTATCAAGATCGGCAACAGCACTTCTTATGGTGAGTTCTTTTTCGCCACTAAATTGCAGTGTGTCAAGTGCTAATCTTTCGTCCTAGGTCTCGCTGCCGGTATCCACACCAAGGATGTCACCACCGCCATCCGTGTCTCCAACGCCCTCCGTGCTGGGTAAGTTATAATTAATACGACATTCTTGTATTCATTCGCTAACATGGACATAGAACCGTCTGGGTCAACAGCTACAACTTGATCCAATACCAGGTTCCCTTCGGAGGATTCAAGGAGTCCGGTATCGGCCGCGAGCTCGGCTCGTACGCCCTCGAGAACTACACCCAGATCAAGGCCGTGCACTACCGTCTGGGCGACGCTCTCTTCTAATTTAATAATTGAAACCATGAGAAAATGGGGAGAGTTCGCTTCAGCGACGAGCTCGTGGATATTGGGTTACCTTTTTCGCAGATAGCCATGACTGGTTCATGCAAAACAATCAGGATACGAATTTACGATGATTACAAATTGTTCTTACATTGCAGTAACTGTAGACCTTTGTACATATAGTCCTGTCTCAAGCTTTAACCCCCACATAATCTTGGTACTGGCTATAATCACTCCCCAGTGGTTAACTAGGGACAAATCACCACCCCTTCCACTAGTTCATTTGTAATCGACCTCCATCTAGCCATTGCATATCATACCGATGGTTACACACCCAGATTCCCGGGACAACCACCGGCGAGTTGAGTAGCCTGGATCTAGTCTCGGGAGAATTACTACGCCGAGAAGAGAGAACCCCCTCGGGTCGAAGATGGCCCGAAGCGAGGACATTCATCAGCGAATACACAAGGACCGAATGATTGGCTATGTCACCGACGTTGATGATGATCAGCCATTCAAAAAGACAGCTAATTATCATTCTTCAGTACTTCATAGGCTGATTGATTACTTGCTGGTGCCGAAATTAGGTGTTCGGGAACTATACATTCATTATCTTATCGGTTCTGGTAGAATGCATCGATTTACATTTCATTCGACCTCCAAGTTCATATATTTGTGAGGATTCTACTATCTGGTAGTATCGCCATCTACGCGTCTACTTACTACTTATTATAGTTGTTAAGTATCAGCCATCATTGCATGACAATAGATTCATCACATGGATAGTAGCAGAGTTCTATCGCAACTTCTTATCCTTCTCGAAGTAATCCTTCACTTGGGCCGCGAAACTCTCGTCAGTCAGGACCTTGAGTCCGGCTACAGCCATGCCCTTTCCTACTGACATGGTGATGTTGTGGGCTTCTTCTGTCTTTGCTGAATCGCGGAACGCCTCGGTGTGCATTGCTGTTCCGGGGGGTGTGGGGATGAAGTAGTGGCCGTGGAAGGAGGGGACGGCGTAACTTATATTACCTATAGTTGTTTCTGGTCAGCAAAGAGAAGACATGGTGATATTGTGAGAGTCTTGGTTGTGTGCACTTACCCATATCTGTGCTGAACGCACCGATATCCTTCTTTTGCAGATCGCAGTAGTATTTCATTCCCTTGGAACCCATGTACCGGGTAAATTCTTCACATAGGCCCTCGTTGGGTCGAATGTCCGCGTATGGGTCCATTCTGTTTAGGTATTAGTCTCATTATCATTCAATAAAGTAGAGAGGGATAAGATCATACGCAGAAACTATATCGACTTCACAGCCCGTAGCTAGCGCCGCTCCTTTCATGCAATTCTCAACGCGCTCCCGCAAAGCATTCATCTCCTTCAACGTCTCAGATCGAACATTGACTCGAATCTGCGCCTTATCCGGAATGACGTTGTGAGCAGTACCCCCCTCCGGGATAATGATATTGATCCTATCAGTGGGCCTGATATGCTGTCTAAGCAAACCAACAGCCTGGTATGCCAATGATGCCGCATCAAGAGCATTCACACCCGCCCAGGGCATCTGAGCCGCGTGCGCAGGTTTCCCTTTGAAATGTGCTAGGAACCCCGTTGCCGCTAAGCAGGATCCGAACGCGACGCCCGCAGAGCCCGCAGGCATATGAGGGAATTGGAGTGTTGGGTGGCTCATTAACGAGGCAGTTGTGTTCTTCAGAGCGCCCGCTTCAATCAGTTTGATCTTACCGCCGCCGCCCTCTTCAGCGGGTGTCCCTAGAAGGCGCACTTTTCCTGGAACGTTGGTATACTTCATCACGTCAACGACACCCAGGAATGAGGCGATGGAAGAGACGGCGATGAGGTTATGGCCGCATCCGTGACCTATCTCTGGGAGAGCGTCGTACTCTGCGCAGAAGTCGACTGTTTCTCCGTCTTTGTCACCGTATTCGGCAACGAAGGAGGTCTCCTGGCCGTATGCTTGACGGATTACTGCTACACCCGCGGCCTCTAGGTAGTCGCAGATTGCGTTGTGGGCTTTGTGTTCTTTGAAGCACAGCTCTGGGTTGTCGTGAATCTGGACACTTGTTAGATGTTGAATGCTGAGATGGAAGATGGATCTTTCCTTGCCTTAACGCTCAGTTCACGAAGACCTGCGCTGGCCTGATCAATAGCCTGTGAGATTATTCTCTCCATTTCTGTTGGCGTAGCCATCGTGCGTCCTATCATGCAGTCTTGAAGTTGGTGTAATCGTGACAGCAGGCAGCTTTGATAATGAACAATAAATAGGCGATTTCTTCCGTTCGACAGATGGCTTATTACCTCATTTGAGGAAGACTTGCTGGGGGATAGAAAGCGTGAAGAAGGTAGATACGCGGGAGAAGGATGATCAGCGAGAGGGGTCCGAGAAGGACTCTCTGGGGAACTGGTATGTCATTGGACCGGCGTTTGAAAAGTCACCAAATCGCCGATTGAAAATTCGGCTTAGGATATACTACTATTTTACTCACCAAGCTTCCGTCTGACAGTCTTGTTACATTTCCCCGCAAACCGACGATGGCACTTGACCTGAGCGTACTATACTTCAACTTCGGCGTTCTCTCTCGGCAAACCAAGAAGCTTCGCTGGATGGGAGTTGACCTGCAAAGTGGCAGTCTCCTTTCCAGCCACAGGTGAATACAGGACAGCTGGCTATGAATATCTTGTGCAAACATGTTGGATTTCCTATATTCCTCTTTTAAGTTCTTGAGATTCCCCAAATTCCTCTTCTTTTTTTCGGTTTGTATACGGGTACGGCTCCAGGAATAAAGTGCAGGAAATCAGGGCTACCAACAAAGGCAACCATTACCAGGTTGATCCACACACAATACAAGCATACGGACATTGGCAAGTGATATATGCAGTTCCGGAATGGTTCAGGACTTCAACTAGTTGCTTGAAACACTTCAGCTAGGTGTCTATCTTGCAGGGGAAGTCACTCACATAGTCGATGTTGCGGAACCTTGCGGGAAAACATGATCGCCAACTACCACACGAGGTTACACCAGACTGATGGTAATGGGAATGGCTCACGTTGCTCTCATAGCCGTAATACATTGCCTTGAGGCTGTTTCATGAGATCTTGCATTCGGCAAACACCCTCTACGGCTTCCATTCCCGAATGACGAATCCAGGCTTTGCCTCGAGATATTGATTTTAATCAAGATGACCTCCTTCAATATCTTCTGTTCATCAAGGATGCTCGCCTGTTGTCGCACGAGAAAGTGGTACGAGGTCTGCAGCTGTTACATGGGCATCCACCTGAGCTGTTTAAACCCGCCCCTTCCGCGCCCCTGATGGCACTGGCTCAGAAGTCAACGACTGTCTGGTCAGCAGCAGTCTCAAGACCTTCGACATATTCGTCTCAGCTGCCGATGCTTCAAACCACCAAGCGAGATGGCCATCTCACCGGACCTTATTTGCACCATTGTAACTACACTCCAAAGCCTCATTACGGTCACCCTCATCGCTAGAACGCGTCGGAACTCCTTCTTACGTTGGATATGCGTCCCTTCAATAACCTACATGGCCTATATCGAAGGCGTTCTGATCAAGATGACCGACCACCATACCTATGCCAAAGTCACTCTTAGTGGCATGCCATTCACTGTACTCATTCAACATATAAACCTGCTTCTGATTGCCAAAGTTGATCTAGCAGGGCAGCCGGGCACGAATGCAGGGAAACTTGCGTCTGCTTTTGCCTTACTCCAGTCTACCCGTGGTATCGGCACACCCTGGCAAGTCAAGAATATTCCGAGTCACCCGCTTGTGCTTCGAGCAAAACCACCCAGCCGAGGCCAGTTCATAAGAAGGCAGCTAGCGATAGCCATATGGGAAGTTCTTGCCTTGATTCTCGTGCTCACATCATTAGCAACTCATAATGTGCAGGATGACGATGGGTCATACATATACGGATCAGGGCGTGAATTCCAGTTGGCAGATTCTAGCATGAAGCAGCTTCTCGGACGAATCACAGTCACCTTTCTCTTTGGGTTCCCCGGATCGTTGCTTTTCCTGGACGCTATGTACCGGATGGCATCTCTAATCTCGGTAGCGGCCAGAATGACAACGATTGCTTCGTGGCCCCCGGAGTTTGGGAGCCTGGCCGACACGTATACTGTTCGTGGATTCTGGGGGTTAGTTCACATTTTCTGCCCTTTATTCCACTTCATCTCATTGTTGCTTCTTGAAGCGAGATAGGTCCTGCTGACATATAACAATACCCAGCAAATTTTGGCATCAAAACCTCCGCTGGTCATACACCGGTGTTTCGACAGCAATCACCTGCCGTATCCTCGGCCTTCCCAAGCCCTCCCTAATAGAGCGATATCTCAACCTGACCATAGTCTTCATTCTCTCCGGATTAATGCATGTATTCACAAACGTCGCCAGTGGAATCGAAGGGGGAAACACCGGCGCCATGTTGTTTTTCATCGCACAAGCCGGTGCCATCATGTTTGAAGACGCCGTCCAACACTTCTGGGCTATCTTGTCACGAGGAGAGAAAAACACTGCTGCTGAAACACCTGTCTGGCAGCGATGTGTTGGATTCATGTGGGTGTTTTGCTGGTTGGCTGCAACATTTCCCTGGTGGTGGTATCCTATCATACGGATGCTGGTGGCGTATGACTGGACTGGGGTGTTGGATGTTGTTCAGGGTCTGGGAATGACCAAGTCTAATCTTTCTGTAGTGGTGACTGTTGGTGCGGTTGTTTTGCGGCTGGGGTTTAGTGCTGAGATCTGAGGTTGGACGTTTAGTCTGGTATCTATAGTGTGACTGGTCCGACTGGGGTTGCATGTCATGAGTACCGGTTGGGATAAGTCGAACGCGGTGCGATAGTCCACTCAGGGACATGCCTCTTATCAGGCCGCTTTTGTTTTGTATCAGAAAGTTTGTCGTCCAAATTCTCTTTCATAACAGAAATAGGAAACAGTGTTGTATTATGTTAACTTAGTGGAGAAGACGGTTATGTGTAGGAAGTTATGCAAAGCTCAAACGCACTACTCATGCATGTAATCCGTTTCAGGGGAAGCTTACAACCCTTACGAAGAATCCAATCATGAGAATCCATCTCCAAATTGTTGGCTCGGCGTAGAGTATGCCCGTGTATGAGGTTAGGCAGGTTTTAACAGATTATATTTGCTATCTAGAAAAGCGTGATATATGAAATCTTTGTCACTGTGTATCAGGCTAGGGGTTTTTTCTCCCTCATATTTGGTATTAGAAAAAAGGAGATTTTGAGACCCAAGTACAAGACACCCAGCGACAAGTAGCACGATTGACTGTGGATATTTCAATTGGATGGTAAACCAACGTGAGAGAGCGTTCGTTTCAGGCAGCGTCTTGGTCCAGTTGCAAGTAATGCTCTAATGCAGCCTTGCTGACGACGTGAGAACTGTTCTAGTCATGCATAAAGCCATTCATAGTTAGGTCTAGTAACTATCACTGAGACCAAGCATCTATCTCCTGCTGCCATTAAGCTCATCTGAGCGTGTTTCTATCACTGGTCGGATATACCATTGTGCCTTAAGACGCGACAAGCTACCTTCCTGTTACACGATAGTGCAAGGCACATTCAACCCGGTGATCAAACAAAGGGGCCGTTTTCCTCCTAATCGACTGGCAGGCCTTAATATGCTGATCAGGTTCGAGAAAGGAGAAGACACCGGATCCGGGGAATGGTATGTCACCCATGTGGCTCGTATCCACTTCTGATTCCTTTGAGAGCCTTGTTGAGCTGACACAAATAGGAGATCCGGATGTGCTGGACTGAGATCTCCTCAGGCAATGTGTAGGTTCTTTTCGTGTTCAGCATATGTTGTGGCCGAGAATTAGGCGATCAATGGTTGAAATCCCGTCCTCAAGCTTTCCATGTCAGTAACACTTAACACAACTAAAGTCAGGCTGATGAGTAGGTACCTTAACATCACAGCTCTCTCCTTTCAAGACCAACTTCCTCCTTGCAACAGATTTTGGTGGGCGGTTTTCGCCCCAAACGAAACGATTCCCCTGAAAGAACAACATCTGATGTCAGCTGGGACACGGAACGATCTGCTCCCTGATGTGCCTGGCCGGGTGGACTCTGCCACATGGCTATGTCGTAGGATAATCGCTTCTAGATCGGCTGAGACGGAAATGAAGTTGGATCGTCTCTGGGGGCGGAAGTTGAAGGTGGAAGGGAGGCTTTGCGAGAGAATCTCATCCGCCTTCTCTTTTGGCCCCTCCTCCACTCTCTCTTCTCTTCCGTTGCCTCTGAGAACATTTTCCTACCACATCCCACATCCACCATCATTTTTCGTTATGCGAATGTCTCTGCCCAGAGTGAGTCTGGTTCTCAAACCTGCTGCTGAGCTGAAGAGTCACTAACTATTACTCAGTGTCGCGCTCGTCGCAATCCGGGTTCCTCGCAGATTCTGACGCGATTTGGCCCCAACGCCATCGCGAACTAGTTTCTCCAAGAGCACAAGTGCTCTAGCGACCGCGTTGTTGTGTTGCCTTTCTCAGTCAACTTGCTCCAAACACTGCCACGACCCTGCTAGCTGATCCTCCGTCAGCAGAGCACTTGTGCTTGCCTGTGCCCCAGTCGCCTGGTCATTGGTTGGGCTATGCTCTCGCAGGCACCCTTTTCATGGCCAGGTTCTAGCTTCTGGGCTTGCTGATACCGCAGGTCCGCGTGGGCCCTGTGACTAAATTCAAAACATTATGGACCCAAGCCCATGGCTTTCAGGATTCAAGCCCAGGGTGGGCTTGCGTATCAGTCGAAATCGGGTCCCAGGGGTATGTCATCCGCAGGCTGCGACGTATATCACCCTTGTCCGTCCCTCCCAAACTATTATAGACCTTTTTTCTGGACCTTTCTGGACCTATAGCGGTGATTCTTCATGATCGCCCTGCATACCATGTCCGACTATACCTCGGGTCCTTATGCACCCATTCGCTGCAGATCTCCAATAGCCCCTCCACGCGCCCCGTTCAGTAACCCGCAAGGCATAAAGTCAGTGGACAGCCTCGCCTCCTCCAGGTCTACTCTCTATTTTCTCCCAAACGATATTCTCGAGGACCACACCGAAGATAGCGCGGGTCGCGCCCAACACAACCAATTGAAAATGCCGCCCCCAGATGTCGACGACAAACTACTCCTCGCGGGACTGGAAACGACTTGGGACTCGGCAGATAGATTGGCTGTGCCACATTTACACATACCCAAGACAAGGGCAGATGAATACGGCCCGCCCAGCCCATGCTATTCACACACATCTAGCGCGAGTTCTGCGACGCGCTCACCATCAGCGTCCGAGTGGAGGTTCAAGCCTCTACCCCCGGTCCCTGGAGTAAGTGGCGGCGCGCACTCAAGAGGATCTGGTAGATCAAGTGGCGGGCAAAGCTCTTTCAGAGAGTCCCCTACGAGCTATACGCCTCAGCCTCTAGCACTTCGGCCCACGACACCCCGCCCTATAACTCCTGTATCTTCGACATCTAGACCAACCACACCCCAGCCTCATGCAGCGCCCTTTGGTGCAGTACCTCGGCCTACAACGCCACGTCCTCTTACGCCGGTGTCTTCAACATCCAGACCTACAACACCTCTTCCTCCAGCAGCACCTTTCGCTGCAACATCGCGGCCTATGACACCCCCATCTATGTCTTACCGACCAGCAACCCCTCGACCGACCACCCCCAGGCCTGTGACTCCTCTACCTACCATTCCTCAGCCTTCCACACCCCGATCTACAACTCCCCGTCCCACTACCCCGCGACCTACAGTGGCAATCCCAGACACAGGAACAGCCACGAACCTTAGGTATGAGTATGCGCCAGGGCATACCGGCTCTTTAGCAGCCGGAAAAGGGTCTAGGGATGCTCCTGAGTGGCCGCAAACATTCGGTATCAAAACTGAACAATTGCCGCCTGCCACGAGCAACCATGGCTACAACCATAACCCGAAACGCTCGAGCCCGACAGACCTGCATGTCCAGCAAAAGCAGCCAGTGAAGAAGACATCAAAACAGGAGCTAAAGCCAGATGGTGACGACAGACCTCTGTGGCAGTCATTAAAGGCAGGGGTACGGCGTGTCCTAACCCGTAAAGCGGTTTCCCACGATGGTGGAGCGCTCAAGCACAGCAAAACGAAAAAGAACAAGTACCAGAATGTGCGCAGAGCATCAATCATTGTTCGCATGTCGACGATACCACCTGTTCAGCGTCCGCCAGAGGACAATAATGGCCAGGGTTTTCTTGACGGCAAGGAAGATGACGGTCACTATGAAGACGCCATAAAGCGAATGAAGAATGTCCTAGCGAGTTTGCTCGAGGATGGGTACACTATGGACATGATTTTGCAAGCAGAATCTAATCAACAATTTCTCCGATCGCTTTTTACGAGGGTGCAGAACGAACCACTTCTTGGTGTTGACACTGCACCTTCTAACTCACCCCCACCGACGTCACACTCCTCCTTACCCCCAGACCATACATGCGAACTCCCTCCCCAGGATTTCCATCAGCCTGAGGCAGTTGATAAGCCGGTTGATCAGCCTATGAGCCAGCTGTTTGACAAGCCAATTCGACGGCCTACGTTAGGTGATGACAATGAAAGCAGCTGGGAATACGTTGGCTACGACGAGGACGAAGCATTCACTGAAGGTGCACCCTCCGTGCGCTTCTTTACAGGTCCTGCGCTTGATGAAAGATCAGAGCCACGCAGTTCCGTTCCACCATTCGCGGCAGTCATGGCCGCCTTGGATGACGACCTGCAGCGCATGACATCCAACCGATGGAGCCTCTCCAAGTCCGGCATGGAAGACATGATCTTGAATATCCTTCTCCAGATCGACGACCTGGATGACCTCTTCTCCTTTGCTCAGACCAGCAAAGCCACCTACCACGTTTTCAAACGCCACGAACTCCCATTGATGGAGAACACCATTAGACGCAGATCCCCTGCAGCCTGGGAACTTCGTCAGATGAGTGATATCAATGAAAATACAGATCCGCAGGATGTGCCCTCTGCAACAGTCTACTACCGTTCCGTAACCCGCGATCTCCGCGCCCTCGCCACCCTTAAGGGCTTGATGATGACCCACTGCAGAGGAGTCATGCGCACCAGCTCATACGCTGCCCTTGCCCGTCCGTCCAGTGCAGGCGCCCGCCGGCTAGACAACGCCATCTGGCGTGTTTGGACCTTCTGCTTCCTCTTCGGAATGCAGACAGGTAGAGAAACAGACATGGACGGACAAGTCAGCTGGCTCCGCGGGGAAACCGGATCCCCGTTCCAGCCCTGTCCAGACCCCAAGGACGTAGCCAGCATTCTGTTTGACCCTCCTCCGGGCTTCGGAGAGGGCAATCCCGGAGGCCTCACGGTGAGCGACATGCAAGACATGGACGAGGTATGGACGTGTATGAAGTACATGCTGGGATTCTTGCGCGGTGAAACTGAGCGCGCCCGCCGTTTCGGCGTGTTTCAGAGCGCTGGCGTCTCTCTAGAGCGGAATCAGGGCATGATCGTGCTGCATGAATGGATCAATTATCTGTTGACCCTGGGGCCGGAGGCCGTGGTGGAGCTGGCGCCTCTAGGGCCGGACACTCATGCGGAGACTACGTTCCAGCGAGCTATGTCGCGGGGGTGGACGACGTGGTCGGCTCCCGAGCCGGGGTCGACGCGAAGTGCGTTCCTGACGGATGCGCTGGGGCGGGTATCGGGAGGGTTGCGACGGTTGGAGGAGTTGCAGATGACGCTGTGGTATAGTTATGTGTGAGCCTATAGACTGATCTAATGAGTAATGACACATTAAGTGACTTGACTTGACTCAACTCCAACTGAATGATCAACAACGTAGCTGTGAATAATGGGTTACTATTGTTCTAGATGTGGACTAAACCACTTGGACCCAGACACCACACTAAGATATATAGATTCCGCTTTGTCTAGTAGTTACCCAGCAGTACCAGTACAACAACCAAAACCATGGATTTTCCTAGAGAGTAAATATGTCCCTACCACTCTTAAATCGAGTCCTGATCCAGAGGGTTATCCCGCAGTCATCCAATGGTCCCAACACTAGTACTTTCGTATATACTCGGGAATGACGGGACTCCCCAAACCCAACCACCACCACCACTCAAAGAATTACCCCAGGAACCACAATGCTACAAGGTACTCCCGATCGTCACCACTGACATCAATCTGACAATGACACCATTCCCACACTCTATTCATCATTCTGGCTAAATATAGTCTTGTCTAAAGTTGATTGACCAATTACCACCCTGACGTCACTTCTACGCCATCCAATCCAACCCTACTATATCATATAAACAACCCCCAGCTCCCCATACAGTCCCTCTTCCTCCAACAATTCATCTTTACAATTGAATATTCTATCAAATCCATCCAAACCAAACCAAACCAAGCAAAGAAAAACAACCAAAATGTCCTCCACAATCCCTACCACGAGCGGCACCCAGCCCCTCGACCCCTACAAAGCCAAATCCCTAGATGACGACCTCCCCCTCGCCCAAAAAATCACCGACCTGTCGACCTTCATCACAGAACAGAAATTCGGCATGCTCACGACAAAGTCCTCGGACGATGATCTGCTCACGAGTCGGTGTATGGCTCTTGCTGGGAAGGTAGCATAGCATTCCCCCCCGTCTCTCCCATACCTCATACATACCGAACCACATTTATGAATGAATCTCTTCCCCCAAACTAATACACATGAACTATGTAAATAGGAAAGAGGCGACACCACCCTAATCTTCCACACGAACCTCTTCAGCCACAAGACTATGGATTTGACTGCCCACCCCACCGAAACCAACATGTCCTTCTTAGACCCGATCAGCGGGTCGTGGGCATCTATTTCTGGAACGGCGAGTATCGTGGCTGATAAGGAGACCGTCAAGAAGTATTACTCGCCGGCGCTGCAGGCGTGGTTGGGCGATTTGGGGGATGGCGTGCATGATGGTGGACCCGAGGATCCCCGGATCGGGGTGATTAAGCTGGAGGCGAAGACGGCGGTGTATGCGGTCTCCAGGAAGGGGGTTATTGGCCGTGCGGTGGAGACGGTGAAGAGTGTTGCTAGGGGGGATGTGCCCGCTGTTAATAGTATTAGGGAGGTCGGGAGGGGGGAGTTTGATGAGTGTAAGTTTTTGTTCTTTCCTTTGGGAGTTGGGTTGGTAGTAGTTCCTGACTGATTGGGTTAATAGGGAGACGGACGCATCCTGAGTAAATCTGTGGGTCTTGTTGGGTGAGTGCTGGTATGGGCTATGAGATATGAGCAGTATTATGTTAGTTCGGTGTCGGACTGCAAGATAATCAATTATGTGCTAGCTTCAAGCTGCAAAGTAGATAACTTTGGTCAAGTAGGACCAGTCAACAAGAGAACGAGTATGAAAATAGCGCCAGGCTGTATCTGACAAGTTCAATCAAGTAAGACCGGTCGAACGAGACATGAAGGGAAAATAGCTAGTGATACAAGATTTTCAGTCAAGTATGACCAGACCAGATGAATGAGAAACATAAGAGAAAAGAAACAAGCAATCCATCAGATTCAATAATCCAAGTTACAATGGATCAAGATCATCAAGACCAATCGAAAGACAACGACAAGCCCATCGATCTGATAATCATATTGAATCAACCAAGTTCAATCAAGAGCAACAAAATTCAAGAAACCATGCTATCTTAACGCCAAGGGTATCTTGAGAATGAGGCCCACGCCATCGCTAACGCCAATAATCCCTCAAATCTGTCATAGTTAGCACCTAACCACCAATTCAAGGATGAGGTAAGAACCTACCAATCGCAATGGCATCTTAGCTGGCAGGCGTCCATTATGCAGCAACATGGCAATATTCTTATTAGGAGTCGCCTGCAGCTTGCGATACGCTTCGCGAATATGTCTGGTCTCAACCGGGGTACGACCCTCCTCAGGGGGATCGAATAATCCAGTCTCGCGCGTACGTTTCTTACTGCTCTCGCCGTTCTCTCCACCTCCACGACGGTTCTTCTCGCGATCCTCCCGCTCCTTGACCTTGAGTGCCTCCTCAGTCAGAGTCTGCACGATTTCGAATGTCAAGAATCCGAGAATATCAACAATATCGTCGTTTGGCTTGGACTCAGTCACGATACCGAATCCGGCCCACTCGCGGAACCGTTTGCTCTTGCGGTAGGTGAACGACGCCTGGCGACATTCTGACCAGAAGACGTACTCTTCCTTGGTCATGTTCTTGGTACGTTCGTCGGCTGCGGCAAGGCGCTGTAGCGTAGCGTAGTTCTGTTCCTCCTCTTCCTCGTCTTCTTCGTCCTCACGTTCAGGAACCTGCACGGAGTAAAAGCTGTTTACGTCCCAGGCGAGACCCACACGAGCACGCTTATTCTTCGGCTTCGACGCAACATCCTGCGGCCCTGCGACGACTCCGCCGGCAATAGGGTCATCAGCTCCTGCAAAGTCTGCAGCATCGGCGCCGCCTTTGTCGTCGGAGTCTTTGACGTTCTTGCGGACATCCTTCCAGGACAGGAACGTCTTGAGACGCGACACCTTGGCCTTGTCATGGCGAATGAGAAAGATCAAGTCATCAGTAGAGATCGAGCGCACGCCGCGACGAGTCGCTAGGGCAGTGCTTCGCGCGAGCTGCAGAAGTTAGCGTAGTTCGCAAGAGGAGAGAAGGGAGCATACAATTTCTACAACCTGCTGGCGTACAATATCTTCAATGAGAGTCGTGGTTTCAACGGACGGTTCGGCAGTTTCACCAGAGACGAACATCATCTTGCGAGCGAAATCAATTAGCATTTCTTTGAAGATCTCTTTGGTCTCCGTATCCATTCCCATGTACATGTCCAACGGTTCATCGTGTGGCTGCTGCTGGATTGCTGGGACTGCTGGGACTACTGGCACCGGTGGTGCAGTCGTCATCTGACCGTCTTCCAGATGGTCCCATCCATGCCATGAGATAGTAGCATCCGAATCGTATGGATCCGCAGACATGGTTGGAGATATCCGTCTCCAGCGACAAGCAGACACGCGGTATCCAGGTAGACCCCAGTCATGCGAGTTGGCAGGAAGTAGAATAACACATCCAACAGAGGATCCTGATAATCCCATTTTGCAAAAGAGCAAACACCATCGCATGCTGGAATTCACCATTCCATGCATGAGTGCTGCCTCGACGATGCCCCATAAATCACATCCATAAAGCGGAGCATCGCTTATCAGAGAGCAATGATGGGGATACCATGTAGACCACAACATGACATCGCAAACACCAGAGAACTAACACAGTCCCTTCCAGTGGAAACGAAGCACAGATGCTCACAGGAACAGACCAGATACAAAATCAGAACAGTGCTTACCTGCTGGATCTCCTGCCGATACTTGGGGGTGCGATCAGTCGACATGATGCAGGCTACAGGAACACTGATCGAGCATGCCCCACTGCAAAGTCGTTGACAAGGGCAGTCCGGATCTCTGTCTGATCAGGATCAAGATGGGACGGATATTGACGATGTGGCATCCATTCGATCCAGTTGAAGTATGAGAAGAAGGAACAGTGCCTGGATGCTGGTTGGCGCACGTGAATCGCACCCCCAGGTGACTTTACAGTGCATATCCGGATCATGTGATGATCCGGTTTCCGGCTGCCCTCCGCCGCATTTGGTGGGGGAATGTCGAAAGTTTCCCGGCTGGTGTGAATATTCACGAACGCTCACAATTACAATTGTTGGTGAGATTCTCATTCGCACATCACAATGCTTTACCTGGTAGGACTTGGTCTGGCTGACAAGACCGATATCACGGTCCGCGGTCTCGAAATCGTCAAGAAGGCCGAGCGTGTCTATCTGGAGGCATACACGGCTATTTTGCTCGTCGACAAGGAGAAACTAGTGAGTGTCGCCTGACGGATTACTACGCGATTTGTCTCCCTACGTACGGATTTGACTAACTGGAATGATTGGTTTAGTAGGAAGCTTTCTATGGACGTCCTGTTATCGAGGCCGACCGCGAAAAGGTCGAGAGTGGGAGCGATGAGATTCTCGCCGACGCAGACAAGGTCGATGTTGCTTTCCTCGTCGTTGGAGATCCATTTGGGTATGTACCAGTGTCCACTGTCACCTGGCGCTATATGGGCTTCGCTTCTGACTATCCATCAGCGCCACTACACACACAGATCTAGTCCTCCGCGCTCGCGAATTGGGCATCGAGTCCAAGGTCATCCCCAACGCATCCATCATGTCCGGTATCGGCTGCACGGGTCTGCAGCTGTACAACTTCGGCCAGACCGTCAGCATGGTCTTCTTCACTGAGAACTGGAAGCCCTCATCCTATTACGATCGGGTCAAGGAGAACGTTCAGCTGGGTCTGCACACGTTGGTTCTTCTGGATATCAAGGTTAAGGAGCCGTCGCTTGAGAACATGGCTCGGGGCCGCTTGGTCTACGAGCCTCCTCGCTTCATGACCGTTGCGCAGTGTGCCAGTCAGATGCTGGAGACTGAGGAGGAGCGCCAGGAAGGCGTCTGGGGACCGGACAGCCTTGCTGTCGGTGCCGCGCGTGTGGGTGCCGCGGATCAGAAGCTGGTCGCTGGTACCCTGAAGGAACTGGCCGAGGTCGAGATGGGCCGGCCTCTGCACAGCTTGGTCCTGATTGGAAAGAGAGCGCACGACCTGGAGAAGGACTACATCCGGGAATTTGCTGTCGATCAGGCCACCTTCGACGCTAGCTGGCAGAAGGGCGGATACGGTACCATGTAAAGACCGTCGCTGATGAGGAACGAAACCAAAATAGATAGATATTCATCACGCCAAAAATGAACGTTGCTAATGAAATCACATGCACAAACCCAAAACACCCAAACCCGCTTTCTGGTGGAAAACAAAATGCTAGCAACTAGCGACGCACACATCATAAGCCGTAGAGAGGATTGCGATATAGCCATAGCCATGACCATCAAGCCGTTCGCCTAGCAAACAATCGAGTCAACCGTTCGGGGAATCGCATCTATACAATGAACCATTAGCCAAGTCAAACCTCATTAGAAGATCAACCGAAAGAATAAACCCACCGTAGCAGAAGAAGGCGTCTCCGGCGGCGTCTGCGTCTGATCACTCTCGTACTCTCCACCATCAGCATAGCTCCCCTCTTCATCATACCCATCATCAAAACTATCCCCATCCTCCTCCTCGTCATGAGGGAACCACCTCTCCGGATCGCCATTATACACAATCCACCAGCCAATACGCTCCCCAGCCGCATACTTATCCCTAAACTCCGTCAAGGCCTCCATGGCGTCCTTCTCCAACGGCTCCTCCTTGAATATGTCCTCTGGTTTCCAGCTCGTCTCGGGAGTAGGGCCGACATCCTCGGGGATGGAGATGACTTTCCCACCGACGTAGGCATACGGCTTGCTGACTGCGTCGTCGCTTGTGTCTTCCGGGTCGTATTGTTCGATGAAGCGGAGGTTGGGTAGACGAGAGACGATGCCGGGTTCGGTCTTCTTGAGCGATTCCAAGACCAGTTCGCTGGTTAGGGGCTGTTGGAGGTATTCGGCTGTTGCGTCTTCCAGGTTGTGGAGAACGATGTATACGCGGATGCCGGTAAAGCCGGCGCGCGGCCAGCGAAAGCCGTAGAGCATGTAAACGGGCATTTTATTGAATCTGCCGTCTGCAGTAGTTCGTGGGTTGGCGATTGTGATGAGAAAGGGGGGTGTGGGGAGGGGGGTGGGAAATGAGGAGAGTGGGTGAAGCAAGGGAGGAGGAAGTTGTTTTATGAATGAGGTGATCGGTAGTATTGTGGGGAGGAGTAGTTCATATTAAATCGGGATCTCGGGGAGGTGAGGAGACAGGTGGAGAGGAAGGATGTAGAAAGAAAGACAGAGAAGACAGTGTGAGTCTAGGGGTTGCGCATGGCGGATTCGGGTTGGGGGAAATCTTGGTTGCACAGCGCGGGATGGGATAGATAATATGCAGGGGAAAGAATGAAAGAGAAGAAGGCGAAAAGAGCAAAAAAAGGCAGATGATATATGCAGGGTCTCTCCGTGAAGTCCGGATTTGAATGTTGGATTCTGTGTTTGTTCCTTGTTTACCACCTATCTAGAGAGAACTAATAATATAAGCTGGGCTGGACTAGAAGAAAGACAAAAAGTTGTAGAAGAGATTATTGATTCCAGTCCTATCGAGCAGTCGGTGGGAACAATGAATCAATCTCATTATGCTGGCATCTGCAGATTCGATCTGGAAAGCTTAAAGTCAATCGGTGACCCAACGGTCAAGGCGGTCAGCACTGGCAGTATGGAGTCGAGACTCGCATTGTCCGCCGGAGACACCGCGGAGAACAAGTGACGACCCCATTGCACTTCCAGGCTTGCTTATCTATCCCCTCATCTCCCTCCTCCCTTGCAATTACTACATACGGGATGGTTCTCTCATTCATTCTTGTGCAGAATCGCCAGTAAGTCATACCCCGCGTTCCCCCGGAATGCCCCATCTCCATGCATGAAATACACCCCCTAACGCAGGAACAGGGGGAAGACGCGGCTCGCGAAATGGTATGCGCCGTATAGCGTAAGTGCACCCCTACTTGGATGGAATCGAATGACGGCTAATATTTTTGCTTTATGATAGGATGAAGAAAAAGTCAAGCTAAAGGGCGAGGTTCGTTATATGCCCCGGACCACTACTATCTACTACTACGGCACCCCGCCGCGGAACGACATAATAATGTATGCTGGATAGGTACATCGCCTGGTCGCCCCGCGAGATCAGAAATACCAGTCCAATTTCGTCGAATTCAAGCGGAGTACCAAGGTTGTCTACCGGAGATATGCGGGGTTGTTCTTCTGCGCCTGCGTCGACGCAACCGACAACGAACTAGCCTACCTCGAGGCGATCCACTTCTTCGTCGAGGTGTTGGATCAGTTCTTTGGAAACGTTTGTGAGCTGGACTTGGTGTTCAATTTCTACAAAGTGAGTGATGCTAGAGGCTGGTGGAGTGGTGCCACCGGAATTGTTTGGAATGGGAAAATAGGTAGCAGACGGATGAGCTGATGGTTGTGCAGGTATACGCTATTCTGGACGAGGTGTTCCTTGCAGGAGAGATCGAAGAAACAAGCAAGCAGGTCGTGTTGACGAGGTTGGAACACTTGGATAAGCTGGAATGAGGGAGATAATATGGGGGATATAGCAAGAAGGGGGAAGTATAAAGTATCGCTCTGTGGCGATACAATTGCATATATGACCACGGGATATGGTCAAGAGGAGTTAGGGGTTCATTAGGCTGATAAGTCTGGGCGTGTTTCTTTATATATCATTATTGCATGCGGTTGCTTTCAACGTTGTACCGGTTCGCGACTGTTCATACCCTTTCTGGAATACCTGCATCCCTACTGTCCAATCGAGTAGATTCCGTTCAACTAAGCGCCATGCAATGCTTGTCACAAGTGCAAATATAGCCATTCTCAGGGCCACTTTCAGGGTCTGCCAGGGTTTCACAGGGACCAAGTGTGTCCGCTATTTTTGCTGTCACACGGAGTTTGGCTGCTGCCTGACTTCCAACAGCCGAATTTCACTGCCGCGATGCTTGACAGCGGATCACCCGAGACATCTCACAACTGAGACCGGACCACTCAACGCAGCCAGCACGCAACGGCCGCGCCATCAAGATAATTTAAGCTTATCTTTGGAGACCGGAGCTAATAGGACTCCGTAGTTCGTCTCCATTCCAGAAATTGTGGTTGATTGTGGGTGCTATCGACTGGGGGAGGGCTAACTCCTGCCTGGGTCGACATGCCCCAAGGAGATGAGGTGATTGCGGGCGGCGATTGCGAGCCTGCCAACGACGATGGTGACAGCAGCTCTTGGCAATTCGTACATAAGTGGCCTCTCACCCTGCTTATACTCTTTTCTTCTGATGGATTTGCTCTGCTCGATGCACGACTGCACCGTTACCCTGCACCGTTATGGTTATCATCGCATCCAGCCTACCAAGATGGCCTGAGGACACCGTTTTCGCCAACCCTCCCATTTCGGAAGCACAACTCCTTGTTGGCCCTTATGATCCGACACGCACCGGCCTTGGATCGGTGAACTGTGAAGGGGATTGATTGACGGCGCGCCTGGGAACTACCTGCCTGCCGTCTCATCCCCGTTACACCGTCCATACGCAGGGAAAGAATTACCGCTGTATCACCTCTGTCTCGGCTTCATGAACTGTGCAACAACGTCCAAGCTGGCCTATCTTGCTGATAATGCCGCATCGGCTCGTGCTCCGTAGCAAAAACCGGAAGGAGAGGGCAGATCCTCATCAGACTACGCTCAAAACATCCACCAGTCGTGTTGCGATCAACCATCGTGGAGATAAACCGCTGTGACAAGTTGATAACGTTACCTAACGCATCACCTTTTTGGTCGAGCGCATGCAGTTCGACGGAGATTTGGGGATTGGAATCCCATGGGTCCACAACCCCACGTCGGATGGCTCGCCAGTGATAGCAGTCCTTGATATGGGCAGGTTGATGGGGCTTACGACGATTCATTTATCGACTGGTCGTCTGATTGATTGATAGGGGACGGGATCCATGCCCACTTTGCCCAGATGACTATCAGTCGAGCTTTTGGCCTATCACTCCGCCAGACTCCAACTGACTTCCAACTTTGTCCCTAGGATGCGCGGTTTTTGAGAAAGGAAAAGGGGGAGGCAGGAAAAGAGAGAGAACAGGGAAATTCAAGAAAGCTTTGGAAATACGAACTCTCGCTGAACTAATTTTCTCACCTTCTCAAGACCGCAAAGCCTTCGAGACTCTTCTGGCTTGCGGAGAGGGCGGCACTAGTCAATTTCCACTTTCACGGGGCAGTCGGACTAGTCGACCGTAGCACCAGCTTGGACTGGGTCGGGTAAGGCGAGTTTCAATTTCTAGGCTCGGCCGTAACAACCAAGACGAGTCAAGTGAGAAGTGCGTGGGGATTGTCTGGTTATGCGTGTTCATAACATGTGGAGACTGGATTCGTCGATGGATCAGCTTCAGTTTGCCTCTTTGGTTCGGAAAGGACTATTGCAGTAAAGTTGACGCCGTCCACTTGCTGAGCCACCACCACACGTCACGTCGCAGGTACTTGCGAGGTAGACAGACAACTGAGGTGGCCAAATTGGCAGATGAGCAAGCGTAAGCAAAAAGGGCTCTTTGTCAAGCGTCGTATGACACGGTTTTGTCCAGATACACACGTTTTGAAGGGCACGCCGGGAAATTGTTTGCTCGAATATCTCCTGACGGTTAACCTTAGACAGCCCGTGCCTCGGAATATTGTGGGTACACAGTCTATACGGGAAACATATAGTCCACAGTCAGAGATGATCACATCCCAAGGGTGGCGTTCCACGAGGAATCACACTATATTGTACCCTAATTCAGGCCAGTATGAGTCTAGAAATGCTTGCTCTGAAGGCTAATACCATGCACCATTGCCATTGGCGGAGAGGGATACAATCGATGAGGCTTGGACAAGTTACGCGGACGACGACGTGGAAGTGTACAGCCGCCACCAGATGGAGACAACCGTTCAAGCTCCAAGTCGTTCCACAGTGGAACAAAGGCACGGGTCGGTGTCAGAGCATCCGCACGGCAAGATTGTGGACACTGGACAGTATTATAGTGGATGGTGTCGGGCACTGGACCTCGCATCTCAAGCTCTAAGCAGACGCTTAGATTGCCTACCTGGGATACTCGAAACATGATATCTGGCAAGAACTGCCTATTTCGTGTTCTGTAGACCGTATAGGACCTTGATAGTTCGTAGAAAACGTGTCGATCTTTCTATAGATCCACAGTGAGATAGGACAAGTTCCAACACCGCCGTGAAGCTTCTCTGTAGTGGGATCAGGGTCATGTCCAACACACTTGAATGCAATGCACTTTGTATCAATTGTGACAGCTCATTTACTCGCACGCTTTACTGAGGTTTCTCAAAGCAGCTTGCCTCCATTGTCGCAGCGAGTGTGGGGCTTCAACAGATGGATTCGGAGTCGAGAGCCGTATACTTCGTAGCGTCCGACACAGATCCAGTTCATACCGGGCAGCACTGAACGAACAGGCAGCAATCCGGGTAGTCAGGTGTCATAGCGCCATAGTTATTGTTGGAGAGATCCAAGCGGTCTTCCAACTGTCTGTCTGGCAATAGATCTGTATACCGAGCACTGGAGGGAAGAAAGGTCGTCAGAATTAGATGCTCATGGTGTTGACCAGGATGAGGGACTAGCCGGATTGGGATAGCATCACGGGAAGGAGTGAAATGGAGAGACTAATGCCACCCCCAGCCATGCTAACTGCACACTACCTTTGTTACCAAGGAATTTCCATGGGTAAAACATTCCATGTCCGAAGTATACACATCGACAGGCTAATTTGTACTCTGCACATCTACTAATTCTTACATATCTCAAAGCAGAATGGGTGTGCTGCTGCTGGTAAACACCGCAGCTCAGCATAGTTTGCAGAGATTTCCACCCTTACACCGCACAGGGAGGAATGCAGGGGCATTCTCAGTATGATACGTAACAGGACAGACCCTGGAGTATGGTGGAGATGGAAGAAGAGGAGGATACGTTTCAGGCTTTTTCTTTGCTTCGCATTTCGTAACTCGTACCAATGTAACTATGTATCCCTGAGCGGAGACCATGCTGAAAATTGTCATGCACGGCTCTTTTCCTTTTATTTTCAGATGTTCGAAGTAGAAAGGTTCGACCATAATTCCCCTTTTTCTTTAGTATATTTTCTTTTCTTCATTATTACTTGCTGGAATGGCGTGGGTGGCTTAACATTAGCCCGGGCGGGGAGTGGCACTATCCAAGCAACAGACGGAGAAATGTACGCGTCGTCAACTGTGGCTACAACCAATGAGTGAGAGTCCGGGCACGGTTCGACAGCTGAGCCTATGAGGACAAGATCCAATCCAGAGAATCCAGAAGCTCAACGATCGACCGGCGAAACGCAGGCCTACGCGGCCGATCCCTGGGATGCAGCGACAGGCAGGCTTGGCATGTTTCCATCTTCTTCCCCTTCTGCTTCTGCTTCTGCTGGTGCCCCGCCGCGCCGCTGCTGGGCCTCCCTGAATGGAATCGATTGATTGATTCCCTGAATCCCCTCTCGCCTCCTGCTCGCTTGTGACTGGCCCAGCACCTCGGGTTTCCCCTTGGCGAGATTCGTGGAAATTCAACTGCTTCTTCATGTTGAGTGGAGGAGAACCAAATCCACCCCCTGACTATCCTTCTGGCTTTTCGGGTGAACGTCAGCCGGTGACGTCTATTTTCCTGTCGGGTAATCAAGGTTTCTTTTTTTGGGTGGGAGGGAGAGGGAGGGTTGGATGGTTATCCCCTTCGGTTGTACTTTGTACCCCAGGAGTACTAACAGCCTACTCTATTATTGGACCTATAATACTATCGACAGGGTGGTTATCAATGTCACTTCCATCCTTGTGAGGAATGTTTGCAGAACGTGGGTTAGCAGCCGGCGGGTCTCCGCCGGGGAAAGGAAGGGATGGAAGTGAAATGTGTGATTGCAAAAGAGACAAGAATCAATTGATTCAAGAAAAAACAAGACAATTATTATTACCATTACAACAAAAAAGTATACTCGGGAAAAGGAAATAAACGCGCGCCGTTTCAGAAGTATTCATGTTTCCAATGGTCCAGGAGTGGATGAAGATCCAAACGACCGGCCAGACCAATCCGAGGTTTCCCTTCGCGGATTTCCCCAGAGACAGGAAAGTTGCCACATTCAGTCTGGTCGTCATTTATTCTTCAAAATCCAGAAATTGTAAATGAATTTTAATTTACTCTTTCGGCGCAGAGGCGCCAAGATGCTTTTCCTAGTCTGATCTTATTATTACCCTCCCATCGAGTCTAGCCTTTCTGGGGGTTGCTGGGTTATCTACGACTCCATCACCTTGATTGTTCTTGATCTACTCCCGGGCTCCTTTTAATCTCTGCAACGCCTGCTCTGGAATCCACTTCTTTCTTTCTTTCTCTCTTCCATTCTTTTTCTTGTCTCTATCCTCGTCTGTCTTCCTCTGGTTGGATTCAGTTCGTCTGCTGTCTTTAAGACCTGTTCCTTCCTTTGCGACCAGCGGTCCCTTGCAGAGTTACACCTTCATTACTACTACACTACACTACACTACACCCCCAGCGAGCCCCGGGTAGTACATCCAGTTCGCATTACTATTCTCAAACCACACACCTATATCACCTATAGTCCATCATGTCTTTGATTCACGCCGACAACTTGGCTCCTCAGCCTATCACTGATATCTTCACCGATGACACCTGCATCGACCGCCGCAAGTGCCACCGCACCGTTCCCATGAAGGTGCTGGCTCTGGGTGTGGGAAGAACCGGAACTGCTTGTAGGTTCTACTTGGGAGGCAGACGACGGATTACATGACTGACTGGTTCTGTGAATAGCCCTCCGCATTGCCCTCGAACGTCTGGGCTACGTCAAGACCTACCACATGATGTCCGCCAGTATGGAGAACCCTCCCGACTGCTTGATGTGGCACGATGCTCTCGCTGCCAAGTACGACGGTGTCGGCGAGTTCGGTAGAAAGGAGTGGGATCAGCTTCTGGGAGACTGCCAGGTAGGTCGCTATTAGATCGCTCGCAACGAACTCGCACGCTAACTCTTCCAAAAGGCCGTCTGTGACTGGCCTGCCTGTGCCTTTGCTAAGGAGCTGATCGAAGCCTACCCCAACGCCAAGGTCATTCTGACCACCCGTGATGTTGAATCGTGGCATGCGTACGTTATACTCCGTTCTGAGATATAAAGATCATCAGTCTAATCCCTTTCCGCAGTTCCGTCATGAAGACCGTTTGGTGGCGTGTCTCCGACCCCGAGCACAAGTTCGTTTCGAACTTCAGCTGGGCCGCTAGCATGTACTACCCCATGCTCAACAAGTTCTTCCAGACCTTCTTCCGCGGCGACTTCCCCAACAAGGGCAAGCAGGTCTACCTTGACCACGTTGAGGAGGTCCGCAGCCTCGTTCCTCCTGAGAGGCTCCTCGAGTACAAGATCGGCGAGGGCTGGGGCCCGCTTTGCGAGTTCCTGGGTGAGGAGGTCCCCGACACTCCTTTCCCCCGCGGTAACGACATGGCCGACTTCTTCAAGCGCTGCCGCGGCCGCAACAGGCGCCAGATGCTGAACGCCGCTCTGCAGGCTGTCACTATGGGTGGTGCTCTGCTGGCGACGGGCTTGGTTGCCACCATGGCCTTCAAGCGTTTCTCTCGGTAGATGCGCTTCTTGCTTCGAACTTTCCTTCTTTCCTTCCCCCTTTGCAGCATGCGCTGGGCGCCAATGTTGCTGGTGGATGCTTTATTTTCCCTTAATTATTCCCAAAATTGCTTTTCTCATGTTGATATATACCGATGAACGTACCGCCTTCTCAGGGGTATTTGTTGCTAATATTGGGTGCACTGATGTTCTGCTATTTCCTTGGCTCTTGGCTGGGTTTCTCGCTCTATGGCTTACAGTGGGGGGAAATTTCTGGGCTATGTTGTTTAGACTTGTTGCGCAGGGACCGGTCTTGGATTCTTGTTGCCTGGCGTGGATGGAGTCGACGAGAGATGAATATAGATTATTTAGCCTATTAGCATGGCTGCTTCCGTGTGGTGTATTCTTGGCCGGGGTTCGTAATGTGTAGGTAATCTGTAGGCGAGCCTCGGCATGCAGTGTCGCTGCCAACCACTCCAACCACCATCACCCCTCACCCTCGCACGGTGGAAGGCGCCGAGCATCCGTCTTGGCCTGCATAGGGAGTTGTCGCGCGCCCTACAAGGCCATGGCGGTCGGTTGCTGACATGGGCTGTGCGACTTGGAGCCCGTTGTGCTTGGCACATCCTCGGCGGCGCGGTTCCCAGCCCAGCCTTGTATGCCAGCTGAGCCTGGCGGTAAGCGAGTACGTAGTACGTAGAGCGTTGATGTTTATTCATCACATACTTGACTTTCTTAACTCCGCGTACTTCAGGCTTGCTTACAGCAGATCTATTGACCAAGGTGCATGCACAGGGCGCCCGCCCAGCGCATAACGGAAATTAACCACCCATACCAATGAGCCCGTACTCATTGCCAGTTGGCAACAACAACAACAAAGTGCAACATATCCTTATGCGCAATGTCGAGCAGCACGTGGAGCATAAACCAATGAGCCCAGCATAAGTCAATCAAAATCTCCGACTTACTAGCTAATCAGTGAACTAGCTGGTCGGTTACTAAGTTATGCAAGCCATGACTCTCAAAAATGAGCGGCTCCTACACCCGCCGCCTCCGCCGCCTAAACTGAAGCTGTGCTGCGACAAAAGGGGTGGTGTGGCGGCGGCTAATAATAGAGTTCCGCTGATACAGCCAAGGATTCGGAGATGAGAGTGCAGCGCTTATGAACCTGTCTAAATTTATCTACGTAAGAGTGTTGTGTTGTATTGTGATGCATCCAATGCAGCATAAGGAAAGTACATGTTCTGCAAGCGCCAGGATTCGATGTCTGTGTGACCCATGACCCGGTGCCGTATTCGTTTAGTGCTTTTGTTTCTGTTCCTTCTGTTTGGGACTATTGGATTTCTGCCAAGCTATTCGGGCCTGTTTATTGTCGGGTTTGTCTCCATTGTTCATTTCATCCTTTCATATCCGATGACTAATCGTGACTGTCTCTTTTTGCAATGTTAAGATACAACCAGCCAGCCACGACATTCTCAGCCACATGCATAACCACTTATCTAGTAAGTACTCTCCAAGCAACAACTATCTACCAGATAATTGAGAATCAAGAATCCTATCCCCTACCACAGCCCTGACTAGCACTCCCAATTCCGGCCCGGCAAATAACTTACCTACCTCACTAGACAGGTACCTAGTGCAAAGGCCCAGCCCATCAACTAATCAATCAATCAGACTAAATGAGTGGAGAATCTCCTCCCCTCGCAACTCCACCAGTGTTTTTTCTTCTCCTGCTCCAACCACAACTGCGGCGTGACGTGGCGTCGGCATGGGCCCCCCTCTCAGTTCCCCTTGGTCTGGCCCTGGACATAACTAACTATTCATGAATTTTGCCTGTGGCAGCGTGGCGACTATTCCTGATTGGGTGTTAGGTTCGGCGTTAACGAAACACAACCAATTTCGCCGGGGGTCAACTGGTTCCATGGTTTACCGGGTCGGTACGGATGTAAGTATACCCCCCGGTAATGGGTTACGCGTGTGTGTGTGTGTGTGTATCTATCTTTATCTATTCCTTGATCCGCTGACTAGTAGTAAGAGTAATTAGTGGTGTTATTTGAAGGGTTCAGGGAGGATCTAAGTATCTAGTGGGCGGCTGCGTTTATTAGCTAGCTGGAAGGGTAAGTAGGGAGTGCCCTCAATCGGTGCTGTGATTTGTGGTAGTTGGGATGTGAGGACTGGCGTGGATTGGACTAGATGGGGGTTGGGGGATGTACTACGTGGAGGGGGTACGTATGTTCTCTCTCCGCAAGTTGGTAGTCTACTAGTACGCCGTAGCTGTGAGCTGAGAAGATGGGGTCTAATCGTTGCTTTTCATATCCTTTATTTCGGTGTGGTGGGATAGTAATTATTATAATTTGTTTGGTTAGGATTCGTTGGAGTGCTTCGTTGTGGTGGTGCTATACACACAAGGATTAAGCTCTGTCCAAGAGATAAAATGAGGATGGTCAGGAGGTGGTCATGTCTACGTAGTACTTCAACGTGTTCTGAAAATAAGTGCCCGAACTAAGCATTAGGATAGACAACTTTCCTAGTTACGAGGCAAGTGCCAAATGCGCCACAAGATCGTCTATCTTTCGCAACGTGATGACGATTAAAGTTGGATGAAATCACACGGCAATTATCTTCCTATTACTGTCTGCCTTAGAACAACATCCTCTGACAGACCGAGTCTTTATCTGTCATATGTCGGTATGGACCAACACATGTTGAATAACTCTGTATGCCATGCCAACATGGACCTTCTTGCCTAAGACGGTGCCTCTGAGGTATGGAGATATTTCTCCATCCCTGCTGCACGACTGCAATAAACATGAACAGCCAGTGCCGGATCGGGGTGGGGATCTTATCCTGTCCCCGCCCGATCACCCAATCACGGTTTGTAGTCACTACATTTCCAGAACTCCGGCTCGCTGTGGCTAATCCACTTTGGGTGTCATCGTACGTTGGCTGGGCTTGGCACGACTCCACCGGCGAAACGAAGAAATCGGGTGTAACGAACTGTGGCCAGCCTGAAGCATAAAGCAGGATTGCCAAAACGTTATCCCCCGGGGGTTTGCGGGCAAAAAAAGGCAGAGGGAAAAAGAGGATTCAACAGAAGGAGAGAAAGTCGAGAAGCGTCCTGTGGTCCTTGTTTCGCCGCTTTCGTCTTCCCTCTATCTCTCCCTCTCGCCCTCTCTTCCTCCCTTTATATCATCAACCGCTGATCCCTTCCCCTACTCTCCCCGAACCTTCCCCCCATTCTTTCATCCCTGTATACATACTTCGGTACATACCTTGACACCCCGATCAGGTGGCCCTGCATTGACTGTGGGATTTTCTCGCCATCTGCATCCTTATTTTCATCTTTCATCGACATTCCTTTCTCTTTTCTCTCCTCTCGCTCATTCGATCTTCCTATCAACTTCCGAGCTCACTCCGAGCAAGTGATGTAAAGAATCCATGGTGCTCTTCACTCATATCGCCGGAGGATCGGCTCCGTCCTCCATAGTCGTCTGTGTGGCGCTATTACTACTCGCATGCCTACAGACTGTCGTCGCCGAGATCGATTCGGTCTTCAAATCTGTGAGTTGCGCCTCGCTTTAGCGTTATCGCAGCTTTCTTGCACGCAATAATAGCCAAGATGTTCGCCACCCCGGATCGCTAACCTTGTCTCAACGTCCACCTGCAGCGACCCGATCTCTATCCCCCAGTCCTTACTTTGGAACATAGAGTTCCCGACAAGCTTAGTCCGGGTTACATCTTTGTCGGCCCGTACGAAGCGTCCAATTCCGGCCCGTATATCTATGATGATGAGGGGGTATGCTTCTGATGTTCTTGCCCAAGTGTGTTGTATGATGTTGACCCCGTTGTAGAACCTAGTTTGGAGCGGCTGGGGTAACTCGGGCCCCGGAAATGCCCACGGCATGCACGTGTGCAAGTACAAGGGAAAGGATCACTTGTGTTTCTTCCAGGGTGTTCAGCAGAATGGGTATTGCCGAGGTCATGGAGTCATCATGGATGACCACTATCGCATCGTCCGAACCGTGGTTCCCGGAGGCGGCATGGCATCCAGCGATATGCACGAATTTATGCCTATCAATGACGGCAAGACTGCCTTGATGACAGTGTACCAGCAGCGACAGTTCGACATGTCCCCGTGGAACGTCAAGTCCGGCATGGGATGGGTGATGGAGAGTATCTTCCAGGAGGTGGATGTGGAGACCAACGAAGTTCTGTTCGAGTGGAAGTCCCTCGACCACGTCGACCCTTCGGACGCCTACACCTGGCCGAGTCACACGGATACGTCGGGCACTGGGCTGGACCCGCGCTCGCCCTGGGATTACTTCCATATCAACTCGATCGATAAGAACGCTGACGGCGATTATTTGATCTCCTCGCGCCACACGTGCGCGATCTACAAGATCTCCGGCAAGGATGGATCCATCATCTGGCGGTTGCATGGGGCGCATCCCACGTTCAAGAACATCAACTTCAGTTTCTCGCAGCAGCACGATGCGCGGTGGCTTGGTGAAAACTCCACCCACACTCTGCTGTCTCTATACAACAACGGGTTCAATGGGTTCAACCGCACCCATGACTTCTCCTCGGGCATGATTATCCTTATCGACCACCAGGACAACACCGCCACCCAGCTCCACGACTACTCCCCTCCCGGCAAGACCATGATCAGCTCCAGTCAGGGTAACATGCAGGTCCTTCCGAACAAGAACGTATTCATTGGGTGGGGTAACAACGCCTATGTTTCCGAACATGACGAAGAAGGCAACGTGCTGCTCTGGGGTTATATCGACAAGGATCGCATCATGAACTACCGGGCGCAAAAGTTCGAGTGGGATGGAATGCCTACCGACGTGCCGGCTCTGTGGACGTACTCGCAATCCATCGACACCTTCTCCCCGACGACGTTCTATGTCAGCTGGAACGGAGCTACGCGGGTGAAGTACTGGCGGTTCTACGGCGCGACCAACTCGACCGGCCCCTATATGCTCATCAAGCAGGTAGAGAAGAGGGGATTCGAGACAAGCTACTCGGCACCACACTTCTACCGATGGACCTACGCGGAGGCCGTGGATGTGGAGGGCAAGGTTCTGGGCAAGTCGCGCAGCATGTTTACTTTCACGCCGTCGCCCGATCTGCAGGGCCACTGTGGTAGGGAATCATGTGAGAATGCGCAGACGTATGGAATGCCTGGCGAGGAGGGCGCTGGACCTGTGATTCCCCCAGCGGGTATCAACACCGTCCCTTGGGTCGATCCTGGTCACCCCGATGCGCACTTCGATTGGGGTCAGACCGGGGATGATTCGGAGGACGGTGAGAGCGGGTCCGGCAATCTGAAGAGTGTCTATGGTAAGCAGACTCCCGCTGACGGCAGGAAGAGTAACCCCGCTGACTATCGCAATCTAGATAACAACGTGGGATGGATCGCCCCGGTCTTCGGCTTTGTCGTTGCCATCGTGGCTATCTATACCATTATGCGGATATACCGGCGCCAGCAGCAATTTAGCCGGGTGAAGGAGAGGGCATCGACGGAGAGTGTAGATAGGGTCGAGAGGTCCAAGCCCTGGACGGAATCGGAGACCCCGTGGTGGCATTGGCGTCGCTGGACGAAGTCACAGGAGCCACCGCGGTACTTTCCGTTGGCAGAACAACGGAGTCCGTCCTGGCGACCGGATGGACATTATGCGCGATAGATAATTCCCGTTTTGGGAAACATTATAATAAGTGTGAACATTGATGTGCTTATATACATGAATATAAAGATGAATATTAGATATATGTATAGACAAGACATGATCAATCCCTTTCCTCATCTCAAACATACAATCTAACTTAGTAGTAACTACAAACCATACCATACAGCGGATAATACACGGGACGGTCATCGGCTGACGATACATACACAAAGCCGAGTAAACCGGCAACGGGACAACGGGCAATAACACAGTAGAAATGGATGACGCCGACAACGAGAAAAGTAAGTCGCTGACAGGAAGAAACTGACTCGTGCGGACGCGCCCCGAACCAACAACCGAACTGCATGTCAACTTCCGTCACTTGCTACTAATCAATCCTATCTATCTACGCATCGAATTGCGTACGTCTGCCAGAAAGCTGACCTGAAGGCTTTGATGTCTGACGTCTGACGCAGCCTGCATAACTTCGTTTAGAAGTAAAAACCAAAAGAAAAAAAGTTTGTTTTCCCCAGCCCCATCCACATCAGCTGGTCGAAGTCGGAAGTTGCTACGTAGTCACTTTCTGAAAGAAGAATGTTTTGGCGCATGGATGGGGATTTGTTTCAAGGTAACGGGAAGAGGAAAAGATCCAGGTCGTCTGGATGAGACGCTGGTGAGGGTCAGTTTAGCCGGGGAAGAGATGGGTTTAGTTTACTATTTAGTTTACTACAGTGGAAGTATCATCCTCGTTAGTTCGTAGCAAGAGAAAGAGGAAAAAGTGGGTATTCAGAATTGTGTCGAAACAAAAATGAAAAGAAAAAAGAAAAGAGGAATATTCAACGGGGGATAAAATGAGTGCCAAGACGCCAAAAGGCCGGACGAGGAAGGAACGGACGAGTTGAGGTGGAGAACCGACGAAAGAGTCGTCGCAAGCTCGGGGAATCGCTGCCGATCCGAATGAGGGAAAAAAGAAAAAAAAAGAAAAAGATTTAATTTATTCGATTTATTTTTAATTTCATGGATATTTCCCTTTTGGGCGTATACTTCATTAATTTTCCATTCAGTAACAATCAGTTGTTCAGTACATCCGACAGTAAGTAAAGTAATTCCCAGTTCTTACTGAGTACGGCAGTTCTCCTGATGGTCTTGACTGACTTTGACTGACTTTCTCTCCGTCTCTTCACGATCTTCTCTGCCTTTTCCCCTCCATTCCTTTCTTCCTCTCTCTCTCTCTTTCTTTTCTTACTGCTGCTTCTCCAGTCTCTCATTCTCTCTTCTTCTCTTTTCGTGGATCCGATCTGACCTGACCGAAACCCAACCACCAAGCAAGCCCCGGTCCGGCCCCTCCCTTCCTTCTAGTAGTTCAGTTGTTTCTCCTCCAGTACCGTGGGCTGCCCTATCATCATTCGCCGCCCGCCCCCAAAAGGTAACTCTCCAATGCCTGCGCCAAAATCCGGCTCTCAAGGAACCGCCGGGCGTCCGTCCTTACCCTCTTTATCGCTCTCCTCCACCACCCCTTCCTCGGCCATCTCTACTCCAGCGGCCACTCCCAACCCCCTCTCGGCCACCTCTTCCTCCTTCGCCCAATCCTCCAAGAGCCGGAATGCTCGTCATACCCGAGCTACTTCCTGGACATCCGGTCACGATCAAGGCGGCGAACCCGACCCCGCGGACTTTACCTCTTCTCAACAACGTCGTCGCAGAGAATCCAACATCTCATTAGCCGACGTCTCTGAGGGCTCTTCCGGCCGCTACGACGACGATTCCGACGACCATCGCTCGCACGCCGACATGGCCATGAGAAACACCTCCTTCGACTGGGGTCCTGGACACGCTCGCAGCCGCTCCCATTCCTACAGCCAGCCACAAATGTCGCTCTTACAACCTCAAGAACTGGCCGACTCGTCGGCTCCCCGGCCTCGTCCAGCACCGGTAACATGGATGTCCCTTCCGCGCAAAGGGCAGCTGGCTCTCTTGGGTCTCTGCCGTGTCTTCGACTTCCTTCAGATTGCCTCCCTGCAGGCGTACATGTTCTACCAACTGAAATCCTTCGATGAGAACCTCTCCGACGCCGATGTCTCCACCCAGGCCGGTATCCTCCAGGGTGCCTTTACCGCCGCGCAGTTTGCGACAGCCATCCCTTGGGGCCGTGTCGCCGATGCAGAATGGGGTGGTCGGAAATTCGTCTTGCTGGTTGGTCTTATCGGTACCGCACTGTCCTGTCTGGGTGTTGCCTATTCGACGTCTTTCGCGCAGGCCGTGTTCTGGCGTTCGTTTGGCGGTGCCATCAACGGAACAGTCGGTATTATTCGGACCATGATTGCGGAGAATGTCAAGGAGAAGAAATACCACTCGCGCGCGTTCCTGATTTTGCCTATCGGGTTTAATGTCGCTGCGCTGTTCGGACCGGGTAGGTACATCTTCCGTGATGTATGTGGCTACAAGCTAACGGTTTAGTGATGGGTGGTATGCTGGCTGATCCGGTCAAGGCTTATCCTCGACTCTTCGGTCCTGACTCTTCTTTTGGAGGCGCCGACGGTGTGCAGTGGCTTATTCGCTACCCGTATGCGCTGCCCATGCTGGCGAATGCCATTTTCCTGACGTTTGCTGCGGTCTGTGTCGCCATCGGTCTCGAAGAGGTAAGTCATTTTGCTAATGTCGGCTATGCGCACTGCTAATGGGTGTTGTAGACTCTGGAAGCTTGCAAGGGCAAGCCCGGTCTGGGCGTGTTCTCGATGCGCATCTTTGCTCGCGGCATTCGGGCAGTGGTTCCCTCGAACTCTCCATTGTACCAGAGGCTGCCGTTCGCGGACTACGACGAGGCTGGTCCTCTGCTGAACCGCAGAGACCCGGCCGAAAGTTACGAGATGGAAGAGAAGGCGACCAAGACAAGCCGCCAGGCTCGCACCTTGCCTTTCCGCCGGATCTGGACCAAGAACGTGCTGTGCACGCTGTTGGCGCAGGCGTTCTTCGACTTTCAGATGGGTGCTTTCAACAACCTCTGGCTGCTTTTCCTCTCTACTCCGCGTTATGATGCCAACGACCCGGCCAGCCCGGTCCAGAGACTGCCCTTCATCTTCACTGGCGGTTTGGGTATGCTGCCGCAAAGTGTTGGTTTCGCTACTGCCATTCTCGGCGTGATTGGAATGCTCCTCCAGTTCACCATCTACCCCAGTATCAACAACCGTCTGGGTACGGCCAAGAGTTACCAGTACTTCTTGACCCTCTTCCCTCTGGCGTATGCATTCGCGCCGTACATTGCTCTTGCTCCGTCGTCCGCACCCCCGCCGGGCCAGGCAAACGGCGGATGGGTGTGGTTCTCCATTATTGTGGTCTTGTTCCTGCAAGTGACCGCACGAACCTTTACTCTTCCCACCTCCATCATCCTTCTAAACAACTGCTCTCCGCACCCGTCCGTGCTCGGCACCATCCACGGCATCGGCCAGTCTGTGTCCTCGGCGTTCCGTACCATTGGACCGATCTTTTCCGGATCATGGTACGGCTACGGTCTGGAGATGGGCATGGTCGGATTTGCCTGGTGGCTGATTGCATTGGTGTCGGTATTTGGCTGTGTCGCAGCCATTTTTGTCTACGAGGGTTCCGGACATGAAGTCTTCCTTCCAGGCGAGGAAGAAGAGCGGGACTAAATAATCTTGCTTGTTTTTATTTTCATCTCATACTTCACTGCACAGGCGTTTGAATTGCTTCTTGTACATATATATAATGGACCCATTGCATAGCGGTGTCCGGACGTGTGCTTTGGATTGTTACTGGTTTCTGGGATTGTGAGCGGTTGCTGTTGACATATTATACCTGCTGTTACATTATGCATTGGATGACAAAAGAGAGAACAGAGAGGATAGATAGATGGATGCATGCATCTAATAGAAGTTGCTTTGCTCGTGCTGAAATCTCATAACCGTCGTAAGTATGGATGTAGAGTGATTGTGCATGTCACCTGTCACCGTCTCAACGCCGCAAACCGTCTCGTCAACTCATCCAACTCGGGTATGTCACTCTTCGCCGGCTTCGACTTGCTGGCCTCTTTAGACACATCTTCCTCCCCGGGCACCTTCACCTTCGGATGCAAATTATCCACCCTGGGCCCCGGCGGTGCCACACTCACCGGACTCTTTCCCTCAGAATATAGCCCCCGCGGCGGCGTCGCCTTATTCAACTCCAGCGTCTCGGATGCCCGTCGCGCCTCCTCACTATCACCAGACTGGCCAATCTTCCTCGGGGTAGACGGCAACTTCATATCCCCCTCATCATCCTCCCCACCATCATCCCCTTCATCCCCTCCCGCCCCCTCATCAACAAAACTCGGCACATCCCCCTCCGGCGCATCATGAGACCCATCAGGCCAAGTAACCCCATACGCCCTCGCAATCTCCACAAGATAACTCTCCACCAACTCCTCCGACGGCGGCTTCACACGTAACCCTCTAACCAACCGTTCCGGAACCTTCACATCCTCCAACTTATTCTCCTGCGCCAGCATCATAAAATCCTTCCCCCATCTATCCGTAAGCAATCCCCGCAGGATAGTCATCTCCCGAACATCATGCGGGAACCGCGCATACGAGTAGAATATCACCGCCGCGGCCTCATCGAGCGCCGGATCAATGTAGCCTTCTTTTTCCCCTCCTACTTCCCCACCTGGTACTTCCGGTTCTGGTCGCGGATCATGATGTGTCTGTTTCCGACCACCGAATCCCCAGAACGAGAACCCCGACCCGGAGGAACTTTTCCCTGCAGCAGATGATGATGACGCAGTGGTCGAGGCATGTTGTTGTTGTTGTTGTTGTCTCTGGGCTTCCTCCCTGGCTCTACTTCTCGCGCGCGCGCCTTTCTCCCCGAAGGCTGATTGATCGAGGAGATTCGCGCGCGCGAGAAGCAGTTCGCAGTATAGTTCTACCATCTCCATGACTTCCACGGCGGTGTCGGTCGCGATTACATTCTCGACGCGGATGCGCGCGCTCGTAGACCGGTTCTCAGATAGTAGGGTGGAGAGGTCCCGTCGTTGGACGACGGAGCTGGCGGTGTCTTTCTTTTGGAGGAGGCGGAGGCGTGGGATTAGGAGGTGGAGGGTACTGGTTAGTTTTGCCTGATGGGTTGGGAGGGAAGGGTGGTTAGTTTGGGGGGTGTGGTTGGAGGGGTGCGGGGGGGAGGAGGGGAGGGGAAGGGGGTTGGTGAGGGTGGTGGATTGAGGGGTGAGGGTGGAAGGGATGGGAGGGATGGAGAGCTTACTGTTTGTGGTGAGGGAGGCATCTTGGTTGTGTTGTGCTGGTTCTCTGTGGGAGTGAGTGGGAGTTAAGAGGTGGTGGGAGAGGTGGTGAGGAGATGACGATGATGATGTTAGGCAGTGGAGGTGGAAGTGGAGGTGGGCCGATTGGTTTGTTCCCGCTTTGGCATTGACACAGGCTGCATCTTTGTGTTCTTTCGGTTCAACGCTACTCCACTTTGCTTGTGGTTATCAAGTTTCTTCAGATCTAGGTGGCTGTTCTTTAATGATTGCATTGCTACTCATTTGAATTACAGATGGAAGCTCGTTTTTGAATGGGGACTGTTCGACCTCTACTCTGTGCTAAGTGGCACTTGGAATTTACAGGAAATTAATGACTATATTAACAGTAAACATTATCGATAAATGCTCATCAATCAAGCATATACAAGAACGTCAATCATAAGGGTATAAGTGTAAGTGTGAAAAAGGTGCCTATCAGAAGTGAACCAAGAAAAGTGATGATGGTGAGTGAGTATGCAACCGACACAGTTGATCGGTATGATGGTCAACATGGTCTATTGTCTAGACCATGACAATGGCTCCAAGAACTGCCACAATCAGACTCAGCTTCGACACGGCAGTGCTGACAGCAGCTCCCTCCGTCACAACCGCTGACTGCGTTGCTTGAGCGGTTCCAGTCGTCTGGCTCGAGCCCTCACTGGCAACAGCAGCAGCAGCTACAGGCTGCGTGTGCGAGGAGCCCGTCTCCACCATCACGTGTGGCTTGTACGTGTAGCTAGCCGACACGGTCCAGTTCAGTGCTGCGCTCGAGCTGATCTTCCAGCTGGAAGAGGGCGTCCAGCTGGGGGTGGGCCGGGGAGTTATGCTGCTGGAGCTGGTGGTGCTGATGGTGGAGCTGGAGCTGAGAGTGGTGCTGGAGATAGTAGTAGTAGTGCTGGACGGCGTCGGGGTCGGGGTGCTGCTGCTAGTTCTAGTGCTAGTGCTGGTGCTAGTGCTGGTGCTGGTGCTGGTGCTGGTGCTGACACTCGTCGGCGTGCTGCTCGTAGTAGGGACGATGCTGCTGGTCGAGGTGCTGCTGGTGCTGGCGCTGCTGCTCACGACGACGCTGCTAACACTGCTGCTGGACACCGGCACGCTGGTAGAGTCACCGCCGTCCTTGTCGAAGACAACGACATTGGCCTTTCCGCCCTTGGGCACCGTCACCACACAGAAGGATGCACCGCCTGCACCCACTGAGCTGTCGCCAGTCATCTCGTTCACGCCGTTCACGGATGGGTCGATCTTGCATGGCAGTCCATTGCAGCCGTCTCCCTCACACTCGATCTCGACACCGAACTCAGGGACTTCGTTGCGGAACGGGGTAGTCGGTTCTAGGTAAATCGGGTTCCATCCGAGCTTCACATAGGTGTTGCCGTCGCCGTCAGTGTTGGCACCGGCAACATACGGGGACCAGTTGCCGTAGGGGTTCTCAGAGGTACCCCAGACACAGGCAGTCTCGGTGTTGTATCCCGGAGGGTTGATATAGAAGCTAGTACTGTCAGTATCATGTCCTCTCACCAAAAAAAAAAGAGCAATAGAGAACATACTGCGCCGCAGTCTCACACCAGTAACTCAGATCCGGAACAGCCAGGGTAGCCAGCTCTTCCACAAGCGTGGGGATCAGCATGGCTTCATTGCCCGGAAGAACAGTCTGGCAGAAAGACACCTGCTCCTTGCACTTGTTCTTCGCGCTGACGACGCCTGTGCCGTCCTTGCAGTAGGGACGGTCCGGGAATGGCTTCTGTATTTCGCCATTCTCGTCGCAGTACAGTCCACCATTCTATCTCATCAGTCGCGAGTCACAGATTTCTCCCAGGAGAAGCACTTACCATGGACATGGGGTAGGTGTACGAAGTAGCCTCCGGGTCCCACTGCATGGAGACCTGGCCGGCTGGACAAGCATACGGACAATATCCGCCAGGCTTGCACTCCTGATCAGGGCTCATCGCCCAACCACCATTGGTCTCGTGGGGAGTGATGGGGATCAAGCCAGCCCCGGAGGGGAACTGACACGAGGAACTCTTCTTGACCACGGGGCTATCCACCGAGCGATGGCTACGGTGGTGGCCATGGTCATGGGCGTGCTTGGCTGCTTGGACAGCAGCAATGGCTAGGAAAGCCACCGTTGCGCTAGTGGCCTTCATTGTTGTATGAGAGGTGTATATGTATGTATGAATGTATGTATATGTAACCAAAGGTGGAGAGATGTGATATGTATGGGTCAGTTTTGGGGATATATAGCAAATAGGCAGAGGGATAGGTTAGAAGATAATAATAATCATTTGATACGACACCACGACAGACCACGCGAAACGAAAGACTAGGGTCAGTAAAGACAAGAACGAGAGACTGGACCGAAGCAGAGAAAGAAAGAAGAGAAGAAAGAGAGAAGAACGAGGGAAAAGACAAGAGAAAAGAGAAACCCACAACCACCAGCCAGCAGGACTAGAGAAGACTACTAGTCTACTGCTAGTAGCCTGAAAGTGATGCTCTCCCCGGGTTACCCAATGTGGATAGCCTTAAAGCTTCGATCCCAATCAGGCATGACCCGCTCAGGGGGTCACGCCAATCAGCGGCCTTTGCACTGCGGCAGTTCATGGAATACCCCCCGTAGATTACTTCTTTGGGGATAGTGGAATAGTGTAGGTTACCGTACTGTTCCTGATGGATGGATAAGGGGTCCGTGGACCCTTTGAGACACTCTTCCATACTTGGTGGGATCACTCACGCAAAGGATACAGTATAGACACAGAGAGGGGGGATAGAGAGTATACAGAAATTTCTGTTAAATCTTATCCAGCTCAAATCTATAATTATTGCCTGCTGTCAAGTCAACTCAACTCTACGAAATATGACACGGGACAAACTCTCAACCACTCCCTTCCTCTCCCAGTCAAGACATCACGATCAGCACACGTCCAGACCGGATCAGCATCCTATTCCAGTATAAGCCAGAAAGTAGTGCTCGAGTCCAATCGAGTCAGTGCCTCTGCCTCTGAGCTAGTCTCAGTCACTGACCGGCACGGACTTTGGCAGTTTGAAAAAGGGGGAGACGCAAGCCAATTGTACACAGAGGCGGGGAGCTACAGTGCTAGCTTAGGCAATAGTCTATGTTTAGTCTGTCTCTCGCTTGCTCGTTCGCTCGTATCTACCGTCAGGTTTGATTGCACGAATGAAATGATTGCTAGGCAAACTGCCATTATACCCTGTCGAGTACCATGAAATCAGGCAATAATTGTCAATAATAATAATTCAATAGACAGGGGTCCTGAGGTGGTTGCATGCACGTTGCTTGGACTGCCATTTTTTCCATCAGGATTCCACTTCTTCTCCTCTTTCTCGCCCCTTGGCCTGTGCGCTCCGAAGCGTTCAACGTGGATTTTCATTCATATATAATAATTATATGATAGTCTAGGGAACTACTTAGGTACAACAAACTAACTAGCTAGCTAGCCATCACGTATGACGCACACTACTACTATACTTACTATACTCTTACTCCTCCTGCCCTTCCATCTCCCTCCATCCCTCAAACACTCCACCAGGAACATCCCTCCACCCCCATGCAACACAATAATGTCTTGCCAATAACTGCCACTCCTCCATCTCATCCAACATCTCCAACCCTGCCACCCGTTCCTTCTCCCGCTCACTCACCCACCTTTCCCAGATGAAATCTACATCTGCTGCCGCCTGCCCCCCGTCCAATCCCATCTCCCGTAACCTCCGTCGCTGCGCCCCCAGCGACGCATACTCCTGCAATGTCTGCAACTGAATCCCCCTCGTGGCTAGATTCGCCACCATCGTGCGCCCGAACGCATCGTCTGGCCGGATGGGCTCATACAGAACCAACCCTACCGGCGTGGTCGCCGGAAAGATGGTTTCTGTGAAGTGGCGGACTACCAAGCTGGCTTCGCTGGGGGTGAGGTATATGAGACAACACTCAGACAGGAGGAGGGTGGGGAGAGTGGGATCGAGGCCTGGGAGGGCAGGGGAGGTGGGTAGATTGCGGAGATCGAGGGGGTGGAGGTGGTAGGAGGGCGAGTGGAGTGCGTCGTTGGTTGGAGAGATTTCAACCGTGTCACTGCTGCTGCTGCTGAGGACGCGTTGGAGGAGAGGGGCGGCGCGGATGAGTTTGATCTTAGCGGAAGTGTTGACGGGGAAGTCGATCTCGTGGTAAACGAGATCCGATGCATCGTAGGTAGGGGAGGAAAGAAGACGGAAGATGCGCGTGTCGGTGCCGGCGCCCAGGGAGATGATTTGTTTCTTGGGGTGAGAAGGATGGGCGTTCAGAAAGCGGGTGACGAGGCGGTCGATGGCAGTGGTGCGGACGTAGGTACCTATGATGGTTAAACGATAAGTACTGTTGGGAAAACAAAATAATGGTATCTGTTTAAAGGTAAAGTACCTCTGTTGATGATGGGAAGTCGTCGGGTTTCCATGCCCGGAGGCGTCAATGCAGGAGCGTAGACATCATCGAGATATCCCAGATTCACGGCGCTGAGGCGGGAGACGCTGGCGTCATTGTCGGTGCCCTGCACCACGCGGTCTTTGGCGCCATGAGACCCGTGGCCTGCATCACCAGTCTGGCCACCTCCGCGACTTCGAAATCGGCCGCGACCACCGCCGCGACGCAGGGTGTTCAGGTTGGGGATGTGCGAGGCGGACATTGGCGAGGAGGAGATGGAGAAGCTCAAGTTGGAGCTCCGCGGCGGAAAGTTGGTTGTGCCCCGCCTCTCCGGCCCCCACGGGCTTCTACTTCTAATACTATACAAAGTAGTCCTGAGCTTACCCTGAAGCTGCTATTTCCACCATGAATCAGCTATCTTACAGATAATGTTTTTTGAATAAACTGTCTAACTTTATAGTAGCATCAGGAGGCTCTGATCAAGGATAAATTTTTCCATACTATCATATCTATCTTTGTCTTCATAGAAGGAGAAGGTTCCCCTCTGGCTTCCGAAAACGGAATGTGACAGATACTGAGAACCATCAAAAAATGCAGCATCGTAGTGATACTCTCAATATACTCTCTATGTACACCTATTCTACTACTTCCACTCCCTATACATAAACAAAATTGTTCCGGCACAGCGGGCACGTGCTCTGGTTACTGCTCTTGAACCACCGGAACAGACACACCGAGTGGAAGGTGTTCTTGCATGTCGCGCACCGCTTGTTCGGTGTCTGCATGTCCGTCGAGATAACCGAGTAGCAAATCGCGCACTCGCTCTGTCCCTTGAGCGCTCCCTGCACGTTCTTCCGGAACGCCAGCAGTCCGTCCACCAGGTTGCCGTTGGCAAACATAATCACGCCTTGGATGGTCAGCAACCAGCTGCGCCACTTCTTCTCGTCCACAAGCACACGACTTCGACTCACAACCAACGCTGGCTGCAGTGGATAAGCCGGAGGGAGTGAAAGAGACAATGCCACTGGTGGCGACTCTTCATCCACCGGGATGCTGGCAATGATTTCCGCTGTCTTGGGCGAAATCTTCACGTTCAGCGCCCGCTCTTCATTCGGATCCTGGGTGGATGTCCATTCAGCGACTCCCCGAAGCGAGTCCTCAATAACCAAAGGTGAGATCTGGACAATGTTAGTGTACTGTGCGACAAGCCCGCTATCAGGACAGCTTACGAATTTCTCGGTCCAGGATTCCACTGGTCCCTTGATGCGCTTCTTCGTATCGAGCCACCAGCTCTTGGTCATGTTGGCCAGGTGCCTCAAGCACAAGAAATACAAGTGCACGAGAAGCCATTGGATCTCCTTCTCGGCGCTCTCAGATTGATCGAGTTCAAAGGAGCGGATGTCAAATTTAGATGCATCCACCATCTTCCCGCCTGATCGCTGGAGGAAGTCGAACATGAACTCCAAGAGTGGGCTGAGACTTTCGTTGTCCTTAATACTAGTCACGTAGTTTTCTTGGACAGTAAGAGACTGTAATGGTCAGCGAATCGGTCCCTACAGCAAGGCATCAATACATACCGCATTAACAAAGTGGTCGAAAACCACCTTCCAGCTTAGCAAGTACGACCGTAGTTCGGCCCACATCCTGTCGTCGCCATATGCGGCATTGACCCCTTCCATAGTTGGCGCTTCGAGCAGCAGAGACATCAGCTCATCGGGCAGACCGACAGTCGTCTTCGACAGTGCCACATCAAATGACACTTGCTCTTGTACACTAGGAATGTACCGATGGAGGACGGTGTAGGCGGCGCGTTGCACCGCAGGGCTCTGCGCTGTGATAAGCGGGAAGAACTTGCTCGCGTCTTCCAGGTGATCAACCGGGATGACATTGAGGAAGCGACACAACAGATCAACAGCTACATCTCGGGGTTGGTGGAAGGTGGTGGAAGAATCTGCCCTGTCAGCATACAACTTGATAACATATATCCACCGCACTCACCGAATTTCTGGAGCGTCGATATCAAGCTGTTAAAGAGCGTGTTTTTCCGATCAGACCACGCATCCTTCACATCATCGTTGCTCTCCTCGTCGCCTGCGATTGACCGAAGACGAGAGAAGAGTCTGAATGAAGACAACAGGGCAGGAATGGCTTCATCGCTACCACCGGTCTCTTGCCACGTGGTGCTAAGAATATCCATACAATCTTCCCAGTGAGAGCCGTAGATCTCCTGTAGGTTAGGAAGCATCACTGCCAGGACTTGGAATATCTCAGCCTTGATGCTCAAAGAAGCGCCTTCGGACTGAAGACATTGTATGAGGTGTTTGATCAAGAACACCAAACGCTGTGTGGGAATGGAAGCCGCTACCTCTTCCTCTCCAGATAACAGTAGGTTCAAAAGAACAAGCTTGCGAAGACCTAGTCTCTATTAGCGGATTGACATGACAGGTAAACCAGGCCTTGACAAACCATCTCTGCTCTCCTCATTGGGCTTCAGCCCCGTAGAGTCCGCCACAAACTCGTTACACAGTCGTGTGCCGGCAGGGTTGGAGAGTATGGCATTTCGCAGCACGCCCACCCAGGAGGCCGACCGAATGGCGTTCGCCTTTCGCATCTCCCTGCAAAGTTGTGTGATCTCTTCTGATGACCGACTCTTGTTTGACGAATCCACGGCATCCATGATCTTTACGAACGCCAGCCCAATTTGGTAGTTTAACGGAGAAAGGGAGTCCAGCTTCTCGATCTGGCTTGCCCAGAAAGTGGAAAGCAAGGAACCGACTGACTGTCCTTTTCCGGCGTTCTGTTTCTGCGACTGGGCCCAGCTATTCACGGCTTTTCGGCCATCGCTGACTACTTCCATGTACTCCTCGCGTTGCTCGGGGTGTGTGATGCCGGTTATTCCATTGCAATTTTGAACGCTCAGATCGTCGTCAATAAGCTGCACCGTTAGGGGAACATGGTAGAACAGTGTCTCAAGCTCCTCAGTGTCCAGATGTTCGATGATATCAAATGAAGACAGAATCTTGATGGTGTAAAATGCCAGCCGAAACGCCGACGAGCAATTATTGGAATCGCGCGGAATACGTGCGTAGCGTTCCCGGAATGCGTCTGACACACTGCGATCAACGAGATGCACAGTACCACCGAGCGGACTGGTAACGGCAGCCGATAGCCGTGGAGGCAGCTCGAGGAAGGGTCCAAGAGAATTCTCCCAGGATTGACGAGACGGCAGAATGTCCTTAGCTACTCTTCCAATGTCCGCAGAATCGACATTCTGTAGCAACTCTTCCGCGATGCCCAACATGGACTCGATGCTGTTTCCGTTAGCTCCTTTCTCTCCTCCCGTTAGTTACAACTTACGAAAGTGACAGTTCATTGACATTGTCGAACTGGTGCTGCAGAATCTCAAAACTCGATTTGGCGCTTGTCTCACTGACGACGGACTCTTTCACGGTCTTGGATAGCGACTCCGCGAGACTGGCTACTTCTTCGTCCGACGACTCAGCGAGGAACAGCAGCTTACCAGAGAGCTTTGAGCCGTGGGCTCCGCTCTGGAAGTTTCGGACAGCACTTGGGACCGAACTGGAGATGCGAGAAAGCCCATGCAGCGTGTCGAATATCTTGCTCTCTTCAGAGAGGGCATCAACAATAGACAGGAAAATTGAGTCCGTCAATTGCCCGTGAGAGGTATGGTTCTGTAGCACTGCAATAACAATAGACCAGTGAAGGTCGCTGCCCTTACAGGCTTGATCTAGGGCTCGCATAACCAGAGAAACCAGTCCACTCTTGTCGCCTAGCTCCTGGAAATCAAGAGTTGAAAGAAGCTTCTGAACAGCATGTACATTTGAGGACTCTGGATCCGATTGTGCCACACGCTCGACTACCTTCTCGAAGCTAGGTCCAAATCCTTCCCATGATCGGCAAGACATGATAATGGATACCAATCTATCAGCGGATGGCGATGCCAGGAGCTCAGGAGCATCTTCTTGAACAAAGTTCAACAGCGACTGCGAGCCTTGGGCGATTTGAGGGACTTTGCGTACTATTTCTTCCACAACCGCAGCCGCTCCGTAAGGCTTACCGTTTCTAGACCGCAAAACCTCCAAGCAGTTATCGAGCAATGTGAGGCCTGTATTCTTGAATACTTCCAAAATGCTTGTCTCATGGGCAGTACCATGCAGACGTGAAAGCAACAAGGCTTCCAAGGCCAACAAACGCTCGGCCTGCACACATACTGCGTTCTGTGAGGACTTAAAATCCTTGGACTGCTCTGGTGATGACAGCTTTACCGCTTCCAGTAGGTCATCAGCCAACTTCATCCACAGCTGCTCGACCACCGCTTTGTAGCCTTTCGCGGTCACTGCGACGAGACAATCCGTGCAGATAGATTCCGCCGACGAAGGGGGAAGTGTCCATTGGAGATGATCTTGTTCAGGCTTGACATATTGCATAACCAATGGGGCAAGCCTGTCCTGCAAAAATTTCACTCTGTCATCCTCAGCAAGTCGATGAGCAAGCCACATCGAGGTATCAATGTAAGCCTTCCATCCAATCGCACGATTTTGCCGAGGTTCGTCCCTAGAAGTGAGTCCTTCCTGGAACGACTCTGTTAATGCAATCGCACTAGACAGTCCAAGAGTAGTATCGGGTGTAGATTGCGGGTCAATCTTGGCCAGTGTTTCGAAAGGGATCGTCTGAAGTAGTTGGCAAAGATTCGGCCAGAAGGAGCTTAGACCGCTTTGTGAGCCTTTCTGTATGTATTGAAGAAGTCTCTTTGAAGGAGATGATTTCCCAGAATAGTCCTCTGTCCATAATTGCGGTCTTGCAGATGTTACCTGCAAAATAGTTTCTGAAAGCTCCGATGCGGAGCCAAGTTGGGTACTGTGCAGAGCCTTGCCAATCAAGGCGGCACTGATGAGCTTCCAATCAAGCTCCTCAGGCTCTTTTGACACAGCTGATCGAGTGAGGATGTAGAGCGATTTGCGCACAAAAGGGTCATCGTGATAAGAAAGTGCCCATAGAGATTTGCTGCATAGGAGATTCTCGATGGTTGGCAGATCCTTCTGCAGATCTTCATGGGTTGAGTGTCCTGCATATGCCCATATTAGTAGCCATTTCGAACAATATGGCATGTACGCTTACCTAGAACCCGGTTGAATAACAAGAGCGCAGTACCAGCTACACGCGCATACTTTGCTTCTGCATCGTCAGGCTTGACCGTTCGCTCATCGCTCAATGTCAGAGCAGTCTGCTGCAGGATGACATCATCCACAAATTCTAGGATAGCGCTCTGGTAGACCTTCCACACGCCGCTTCTCTTCTCGTCAGTCGAGAAGACGCGGGTGAAAGATTCCAGAGCAGACTGGTGGACAGGTCTATCATTATCGTAGATCCCCGCCAGCCACGCGCCAATCACCTTGGGTAGGAAGCGAGCAATTCGCTTTCCCACCAGACTGGCGATTGACCCTTGAGTGGAATGAGCAGTCTGTCTCACCCTGCGGGACAGATCTATGGAAGCGCGGGGATAAATTTTGATCTGCCGACATTCCGAACCACGATCAACTTGCTGTTCCGGTGTGTATAAGGCGAAGATTGACCTACCCAGGCTTCCAGGAACCCGTCATCAAGCGTTCCGCTGCGACTCTCAACACTTAAAACATGATCTCGCAGATCATCCAGTGCTCTCGTTCTGGTAACTTCATCCTTTTTTAGGAAGTTCTTGAACGCAATCGCCAATTGTGCTTCCGATATGCGGGAAAGATCCGGCGGTTCGGCCACATATGTAAGAGAAGATGGTTCCTTTCCTTGGCTAGAAAATGCGCCCGAGAATCCACCAAAACCGCCGAACGTGCCGGCAGCAGCTCGGCTGCTCGAGGCCTGAGATTTGAACTTCTTGCTCATAGTAGAGTGGGGGAAGCGGGATGTAAAGAAAATGACGGAATGCGCGTGTATAGCATGGAAGTAGAGCAGGTCACAACCATAGAAGAGAGGCTTAAGTGAACCTGGTCGTATTTGAGCTCCTAGCTAGCTGACCCAAGCTACCTGTTCAAGGGTCATTCATCCCACAATTCCCCTGGGATCCTGCAGATTCTTGCTTTGATATTGATAATCGATAATCGAGGCTCCCCGCCGTTAAAAGCGGCGTGATTACATTATCGGCGTCTCTATCGGGCAATTGCACGTGATCTGGTGTCATCGATTCCCGATTGGGCAAAAGTCGACGCGGTCTAGAAGATCGTCCGAAGGCGCCCAAAAGGCGATCCTCATCTTCTCTTGAGCATCACGCTCCTCTCTCACCATGAAATTCTTTATCGAGTATGTACTACCCTTGAGGTAGCTCTAGGCTTAACCCGAGAGCTATTCAACTGACTCTCCTCATCTTCTAGTGATCTCCCCGTCCTTTTCCCGTATCCTCGTATCTATCCCGAACAATATGCCTACATGTGCGATCTTAAAAAGACCCTCGATGCCGGGGGTCACTGTGTCCTGGAGATGCCCTCCGGGACCGGAAAGACAGTATCCCTCCTCTCGTTGATTGTCGCCTACCAACAACATTATCCGGAGCACCGAAAGCTCATCTACTGTTCTCGAACCATGTCCGAGATCGAGAAGGCCTTGGCCGAGCTGAAGGCGCTGATGAAGTTCCGGGCTAAGGAACTTGGGTATACCGAAGATTTTCGCGCACTCGGTCTGACAAGTCGAAAGAATTTGTGTCTGCATCCGTCTGTCAAGCGGGAAAAGAGTGGCGCTGTCGTCGATGCAAGGTGCCGGAGCTTAACTGCAGGCTTCGTCAAGGAGAAGAAAGAGCGGGGTGAGGACGTTGAACTTTGTGTGTATCATGAGGTATGGAGCTTGCGATTTGAACCTGGGCCGTCTCATAACGTTTTCACAGAACCTCGATCTGCTTGAGCCGCACAACCTCGTTCCTCCCGGTGTCTTCACCCTCGATGGTCTACTCAAATACGGAGAAGAGCATAAACAATGTCCTTACTTCTCAGCACGGCGCATGGTATGGCTCTCTCGAATATAAATGTAGTTGCTGCAAGCATACTCACAGATTGTCCAGATGCCTTTTTGCAACGTCATTATCTACTCTTACCACTACCTGCTGGACCCCAAGATCGCCGAGAGGGTATCGCGAGAGCTTTCTAAGGATTGTATCGTGGTTTTCGACGAGGCTCACAATATTGACAACGTCTGTATTGAATCGCTAAGTATCGACCTAACGGAGGACTCGTTACGGAAAGCGACAAGGGGGGCGAACAACCTGGAACGCAAGATCAACGAGATGAAAACTTCGGATGCGGAAAAGCTGCAGAATGAGTACTCAAAACTCGTTGAAGGCCTACAGGCAGCCGAACAAGCTAGGGAGGAGGATCAATTCATCTCAAACCCTGTCCTTCCGGATGATCTGCTCAAGGAAGCTGTGCCGGGAAATATTCGACGAGCGGAGCACTTCGTATCCTTCCTTAAAAGATTTATCGAATACCTCAAAACTCGAATGAAAGTCATGCATACCATATCCGAAACGCCTCCTTCCTTCTTAACGCACGTGAAGGATCTGACCTATATCGAGCGGAAGCCCCTTCGCTTCTGCGCTGAACGACTTACCTCGCTCGTGCGAACCCTAGAGCTTATCAACATAGAAGACTACCAACCGCTCCAGGAGGTAGCAACTTTCGCGACCCTAGTCGCCACATACGAAAAAGGATTCCTCCTGATCTTGGAGCCTTTCGAATCGGAAGCAGCAACTGTTCCCAACCCGGTATTGCATTTCACCTGCTTAGATGCCGCTATTGCCATCAAACCAGTGTTCGAACGATTTAGCTCCGTCATTATTACTTCAGGAACGCTATCCCCTCTTGAGATGTACCCCAAGATGCTTGGATTCAACGCTGTAATGCAGGAGTCTTACAGCATGACACTTGCGCGTCGATCCTTCTTACCCATGATCGTAACCCGCGGATCCGATCAGGCGCAGATATCCTCATCCTTCCAAATTCGCAACGATCCCGGAGTTGTCAGAAACTATGGCAACCTCGTCTTGGAATTCTCCCGAATCACCCCCGACGGTGTCGTTGTCTTCTTCCCCTCCTACCTGTACATGGAATCCATCATCAGCATGTGGCAAGGCATGGGCATTCTCGACTCAATCTGGAACTACAAACTGATCCTCGTTGAAACCCCCGACGCGCAAGAATCCTCCCTCGCCCTAGAAACCTACCGAACAGCCTGCTGCAACGGTCGAGGCGCCCTCCTCCTCTGTGTCGCACGAGGGAAAGTCTCCGAAGGAATCGATTTCGACCATCACTACGGCCGTGCCGTGATCAACATCGGCGTTCCCTTCCAATACACCGAGTCCCGCATCCTGAAAGCGCGCCTCGAATTCCTCCGCGAAAATTATCGCATCCGCGAAAATGACTTCCTCTCTTTCGATGCCATGCGTCATGCCGCTCAATGCTTGGGCCGCGTCCTCCGCGGAAAGGACGACTACGGAGTCATGGTGCTCGCCGATCGTCGATTCCAGAAAAAGCGCAACCAGCTCCCCAAATGGATCAATCAGGCCATGCTGGAAAGCGAAACCAACCTCAGTACCGATATGGCGGCGGCTACCGCCAAGAACTTCTTGCGGACGATGGCCCAGCCGTTCAAGGCTAGGGATCAAGAAGGAATCTCGACATGGAGTTTGGCTGATATTGAAAGACATCGAGAGAAACAGAAGTTGGAAGAGGAACGGGCTCTGCGAGAAGTACCTCCAAATCTTGCTTATGGCGCTGCTGCGGCTGCTCCCCACAATGGAGTGCGTAATGGTGCTGGTGGTGCGGATGAGTTCGAAGATGAAATTGATAATGAAGATTTGATGATGTTGGATGCGCAGTAGAGCTGAATTTCTTATTGGCTTATTGTCAATATATTCACTCGTCCGGTTGCAGTCATTTCTGTTTGTTTTTGTCTTTCATCCCCTCAGCAGTCCTTGCATAAAAATGCATGCATGATACCACGGTTTCAAGTCTGGTGTTCAATTGGGTCATCACAGTGTACAATATACAAGGCGTGCTTTGATCAATAAAAATTGATATAATAATTCTACTTCAGTAGTAATCGGAATTTCTTCTATTGATTGCTTGTACTATTTTAATAAAAGTAGATAGAGGATGCGATCTGCGTAAGAAAACTTCAACTTTTTTCTTATTCCCGCTGAAAGACAACTGCAGAGATCGTTGGACACGTCAGACAAGAACAATAGGAAAGGAAAGGAAGAATAGACATAGAAATACAGAAACTAATGATTTTGCACATATACAAAAAGATATGAAAAAGCTGATGAAATGCAACACGCCCATTATATTTACGCCACGGGAGCAAGGACATCGAAGGCGCCAGTACCGACGGTTCCGGTGCGACCAACGACGATTCTGGCACTGGGACTCTTGAGGTTATCAAAGTCTCTCTCAACGACGGCCTCCTTGAGGTATCCGACGGTGGTTTCGAAACTCATCTTGGCCAGCGGTGATGAGCCGTCCTTGACAAGTCCATTACGGTTGAAGGGGCGGAAGCCACCAGACTGGGTCATCACGTCACCAATCAGGTTCAGATGACGGTTATCGACGGAGATACTGTGACCCTGGAAAACGTCGGACATTTCCTTAACGATCGAGGCACGCGCGGCTTCGACACCGTAGAGGTTGAGCATGTCGTGGATGGAGTTGGTGTAGAGGGAGTGAGGCTTGATGATGTCTTGGTAATCGCGCATGGCAAGCAGGTTAACACCATCGGTGATGACGTGGGCAGGTTCACCCTTGATCGGGTCGGCTTCGACGAACGTGCAGTTTCCAAGGCCAGGGATGGACTGGATGACTGCGCTGCGGCAGGCATCCTCCACCAGAGGCAGGAGCAGGAGCTTGGGAGTGTCGATGTCGTACTGCAGCTGAATAGTGCAGGATCCTCCGTCGCGGGGGTTGAACTTGAACTGCGTGACCTCCTGGTACTGGTTCTTGATATCTTCTTCACGCAACTTCGAGTCCTTGGCCTCGCCCTCTGACTCTTCATCGGAAGCATCGTCCATCTCGACATCACGTTTCTCGCCGGCGTTATCCTCTTCGTCCTCGTCATCGTCTTCTTCAGCATCCTGTTGCCGGACCATATCCACCTCCTCGTCCTCGGGACCTTCATAAGAGACCTGGTTGGACCGGTTCTGAGTGCCCCGAGCACGCTTGGCGTCGTCCTCGTCGTCTTCAACGTCATCGTCAGCGGGCTCTGCGTCGGCATCGGCGCCGCGGGGTCCGTCCTGTACGGTGCCAACGGAGGCACCAATCTCAGGCTGAGCAGTGGAGTACTTCTTCAGAGTCTTCTCATCGACACGCTTCTTGAGTTCAGCCTTGGTGGATCGAACAAGCTTAGGAATGAGCTTCTTCTGCAGCGTGTTCTGCACATCCTTCGTTGTGATGGCGTATTCGGCAGTGTACTCGTCAGCAGGGAAGAATGTGATATCGATGTCATAAACCTTAGCCTTGACGCTGCCCGAGGAGACTCGCTCTCTGACTTGAACCTTGTCGACAACCTCTGCGATGCTGAGCTTACTAATAGCCTTGGCGAATCTTTCGGAGTGCTCCTTGGACAGCTCGTCGTTCAGGATCAAAGTCATCGTAGGGGTCATGATATGGGCACTGGCGGTCATAACAATTTCACGCAGACGGGGAATACCCAGCGTCACGTTCTTGGCCGAGTGACCAGCCAAGTGGAAGGTGTTCAAGGTCATCTGAGTAGACGGTTCACCGATAGACTGACCGGCAACGATACCGATAGCCTCACCAGGCTCGACGACAGACTTCATGTACTTCATATTCATGAGAGTGTTGAATGCCTTCTTGCTGATGATACCGTTCACATCCTTCTTCTTG